GCTGAAAGAAATTTTTCATGTGATGGTTCGTTTCCTAAATGCTCATAATTGCTCTAGCTGGGCCAGGCTAAAACCATGAACCTGGGATTCTGTTGGGGTCACCCATGTAGGGGACAGAGACACAGGGTCTTGGCTTCTCAGGTGTTTTATCAGGAAGCTGGATCAAACACAGAGTAGCCAGGACTTGAACACATCTCTCTGACGTGGGTTATTGTCATTCCAAGTGATGTGCTAACCCAATGTGCTACACAGTAGCCCCCACAATGTGTTTTAATAGGTTATCATAATCGTAAGATCAGAACCTCTGTAACAGCACATTACAAGGAAGAAAACTCTTTAACAAAGTATAGGGGCAGGAAACAAAACATTAGAAATCCAAGGATAACAATATTTTAAATTGGTATCCAAGTGATTAAATTGGATTTTAATGCATGCTTTGTAAAATCAATCACTGTTATTTACCACAATATCAGAATACAGAAGATAAAATACAGAAAGAGCACTAAAAAAAACCAAGTAGATATTAAAGCATGGAATAAAAATTAAGTTTCAATATTTAATAGCAAATGAGAAAATATTTGGAGTGCTAAATGCAGATAGCTTTTCTGAAATATTGTGAATTAAATTTAATAATAAATATGTGACTCTTCAAATTCATTAGAATAAATTCTGAGTTAAATTAATAAAAATAATTTCATACTGGAGTTGTAAAATTTGAAGCATAAAAACAATTATAATCTAAGATAATCTTTTGAAATGTGGCTGAAATAAATCTAATTTCAGTAAAAGAAAAAGTCAGTTAGTTTGCTACCCATAAACATTACTAATAGAATCCCTAATGTTGTATTTCAAGAAGAACTTAGAAAAGAATAAGTTGATAAAAGAGGTAAATTTAAGGAAGCACTATCACACATAAGTCTAAATAGGCATTGCCTTTACAAAGTCACCAGAATAATATTATTTAATTTCCCAGTGTTAATATTATTTAATTTCCCAGTAACATTGGGAAATTAAGACAGAGTTAGAATAGTAGACAAAAGCAATGTCTCAGAGGAGTAAAATGATGTATAGCTTGTCTAGAAAGCTTCACTATTCCAGATCAGGGGACAAATACTGATTGCATCTCACCTGAGATAAGTACATGGTCATTTACAAAAGGAGAAAGAAGAATGGAAGAAAGGCAAAGAGGGAGAGCATGTGTAACTTCCCAGTCAGTAGACATGGTGGAAAGAGAAATAAAGAAAAAAACAGTGGGAAAAAAAAGTCAAGAGAGAGGGGAGAAATGGAGGGGAGGTGGATTTGAAAAATAGAAAGCCCCAAATAAAGTGAGAAAAATAAAATACATCTGCAAATAGAGTAAATGTAAATAGGTCAAAATAGACTACTAACAGAACATGTCAGATTGTATCCTTTAAAAATATGTACAATACAAAAAGATATGGGTGCATTAAGATTGTGATTATGGAGAGGATTGAGGTCATGTTTTTGCAAAAATTAGAAAAAGAAGGGAAGGGAAAAAAGGAGGACTGAGTGAGGGAGTGTTGGGGGAAGAAAATATGGTTACTTTCTTAGAATTGTGCCAATGCCATCTCACTAGTCCCGGTGATCAATTTCTGTTCACAATTGATCATAATGATAGGACTAAGAATCAAAGGGATCACATAAACAAGACTAGTGTCTGAAAATACTAACCGACAGAACAAAAAAGGAGAGAACGATCCAACATGGAAAGCGAGATACACAGCAGACTCATAGAATGACAGATGTCCTAAACAGCACTCTGGCCTCAGAATCAGCCCTTAAGGCGTGTGGATCCAGCTGAAAAGCCCATGAGAGTATTTCAGGCATGGAAAGCCAAGACACTCTTGGGGAAAAAAAAATGACCTAAATGAAAGATCTCCACGAGTGAGATCCCAGTGGAAAGAACAGGTCATCAAAGAAGGAGGTACCTTTCTCTGAAGGGAGGAGAGAACTTCCACTTTGACTATGACCTTGTCTAAATATGATCAGAGTCGGTGAACTCAGGGGGCTTCCATAGCTTTGGCAGCTCATGACAAGAGCCTAGGGTGATTACTGAGGCCATAAACAAGAGTGTCAATTTGTTAAGTCAACAACAGGAGTCACTGTGCACTTACTCCTCATGTAGGATCTCTGTCCTTATTGTGCTGTACGTTGTGATTTAATGCTATAACCAGTACTCAAACAGTATTTTTCACTTTATGTTTCTGTGTGGGAGCAAACTGTTGAAATCTTTACGTAATGTATGCTAAACTGATCTTCTGTATATAAAGAGAATTGAAAATGAATTTTGATGTGAATGGAAGGGGAGAGGGAGCGGGAAAGGGGAGGGTTGAGGGTGGGAGGGAAGTTATGGGGGGGAAAGCCATTGTAATCCATAAGCTGTACTTTGGAAATTTATATGCATTAAATAAAAGTTAAAAAAAGAATTGTGCCTATGAAATACATAAACTTTGCTCTTTTTATATTAATAAAAATTAAAAATTACAAAATTTAAAATAACAAAAAAGAAAAACTGTTAAAAATTTAGGGGCCAGTACATAGTGCATGAAGCTGCTGCCTGCAGTGCCGGCATCCCATTTGGACTCAGGTTCGTGTCCACCTCTGGCTGCTCCACCTCTGATTCAGCTCCTTATAGTGGCCTGAGAAAAGCAGCAGAAGATTGCCCAAGTACTTGAGCCCCTCCCACCCACATGGGAGACCTGGAAGAAGCTCCTGGCTCTTGGCTTTGACCTGGCCCAGCCCCAGCAGATGCAGCCATCTGGGGAGTGAACCATTGGATGGAAGACCTCTCTCTCTCTCTCTCTCTCTCTCTCTCTCTCTCTCTAGCTCTTTTAAGTAAATAAACATATCCTTAAAATTTTTTCAAAAAAGATATGGAAAGATTAGATATCTGTAAACCACTGGCAAAACATGAGCCATGTAGTCATATTACTATCAATTATACAGACACAGATGTATGTGATTTCACTACTCATTTTGTTTCTCAAAAATAATCCATCCTCTTTGCCCAACCACTCACATTTTTTAGCACGACTTCCAAGGGTGGCCTCCTGTGGCCACAACCTTCCCTTGGATTCTTATGTTCATCTTTGATCTCAGTTTCTATCACAAAGTTGATATGTGAGAAAAGTTTGTGGAAAATGAGAATCAGTAATGCTTATTTTGGTGCTCAAAAAATGGAATCCATGCATATGAGGAGTCTTCAAAGAGTTTATGGAAATGAAAATTAAGAAAATACTAAATATTCATGTAACATATAATTGCATAATGGCCCCTTCACCTTCTTCAGAGGTATTTTGCTTTTTAAAAAAAATGAGAGGAGAAACATTTACATTGCAAAGCTACCATATTGATAACTAAACAAAACGTTTCTTCACACCCTTTTCCTTCTTTCCCCCATCATTGCTGCAGTTATTAAAAGCAGACTTTGTCAAAAATAATTCTATATAGGACCCCCTTCCCCTGTGAGCCTGTTGTTTTTTTACTTCCTCCTTTGTCCTCTTCTCTTTGTACATCGATCTGTATTATACAGAATTCAGAAAAACAATTGATCTTGTTGGCTGACCCAGGAATGGAGAAGAGGAAACTGGGAGTCTCTTCTGTCTAAAGTTGTGAGTTGCTAATGACAAAATTCTCTGTATATTTTATGGCTGACCAGTGAAAGCTGCCTCTGTTTGGTCCAGGTTAATGGTTCTGGAGTTAAGTGTAATTCTCATTACTCTTAGAAAAATATAACATGTCAAAAGACACACACATACACACACACACACACATACACACACACAACCCTTAGACCTATATCTGTTGAAGAAATTGATAGCTTTAATTAAAAACTCTTCCACAAAGAAGACTCAAGATCCTGATGGTTTCACTGATGAATTCTGTCAATATTTAGGGGAGAGAGAATGCTACTTTTAGAAATTCTTTTAGGAATAAATGCGTCTTACCTTGAGATGGGCCCAAATTAATTGTTATCACACAACAGGGGATGTAGGATTCACCTGTGGGTTGTTTTATGAATTCATATTGTTTCTCAGACTACCCCCATATTCATCCCATCTAGCTTATACTAGGAATGCTGAGGGTACCATACTGTGTGTGTGTTTGTGTGTGTGTGTGTGCATAAGATGAAAAAACTCACTAAACTATTCTAATAGAATCCCTTTACACCATAGTCCTAACAAACAACTCCAGGTATAAACTTACCAATGTCAGTTTCTCACATTATGAGATAAATACTTTAAATACCTTCATATTCTGAGCCTAAGTCTGAACACGAATTATGTAATAAGCCTCCGGTGGCAATAAATACATTTTATGTACAATATTTTTTTCTGGGGCAAGAAGACCCTTACTCATTGTTTCTCAGTCTTTATTATGAATGAGCAGAATATCTATGAGAAGCCTTAAAATATTATATACTTCTGCCTTGCCTCCAGAAATGGGAGTCCAATTTTTCTGGTCTTCATCCACACAGTGTATATGTATATACATCTACATATATAGATAGATAGATAGATAGATATAAATAAACAAACTTCTTAGTCAATTCTATCTTATGATTGGAGTTGAAAATCTTTTCCCAAAATGTTTACAATAGAGTTGGAAAAACCACCCCTTTGACGTTTAGGACCTATATTTATTTGTGTTTATTTATTATTAAGAGTTGATACTTAACCTTTCCTGGAATTTTGCCAAGGAAATTGTAAAAATGAAATAGAGACACTATGTACTTAACAGAGTGACAGTAAACTATTAGGGGCCCAAGTGCACACAGTTTTGTCTACAGACTGTAATAAATAAGACATTTGATGAATAGAAAAGAAAGAAGGAAATACCCTGAATGAAAAAGACTGAGTCCAAGGAAGGGATGGAAAAGTATACATAAAAGTAGAACAATAATATATAGAGAAGGAACTACAGCAAAAAAGTGAAAAACAAACAAAACTGGGTAGACGGAAGGAGAAAGGATACACAACTTAAAATGTTAGTCAATTTTTTTTATTAATTTTTATAACTTTCCACTGCTCTATCTGATACCATTTCTAGGGTTTTGGCCAATATTAAAACTAGATATCCAATACACTCTTCTTAATTAATTTCCATTCCAAGAAAAAATTTAAAGATGAATTATTATATTTAACGTGTACTCTTTACATTTACGTTTTCTGAGAGATCATTTTTACATGATAGAAATTTAACTTTAAATGGCATTTCAAAGATAGAAACAAAGACAACAATTAAATACGAAAACAAAAGCAAAATCTTTATTCTTTTGGCTTGATTGTAATGTGGTTTACCGTTCTTTATGGTAATAGCATTTTCCTGCATGCATTTCACCAACACACTACAAGTCAATAGCTTTAGTATAAAGAATCTACATTTAATGTTGCTTGTGAAACACAAAATGTTTTGCTATAACTGGTAATATAATTTCACTATCTGGTTTTGTTGGGGGAAAGAAAAGCTTGAATCCCATATCACAAATATTCTAGAACTGGTCGAGTTCTAGTGCCACGTGAGTTGGTATGATTAGATCTATCTGTGTGAACAAACATTGGAAAAGACTGATGATTACTGAATAAAAAGACTAGGTGGAAACAAAAAATTCAAGCAATGCTAAGAATCAGCTGATCTTTCCTTAAGCCTCTTTCAATGATAAGGCATTCCTATTTGAAAGCAAATCAATGGATTCAGCTTGAGATTTGTTTCACAATGAAATGTGTGCAAGTTTACAGTACTCAAAAAAGCAGAAACCTATACTGCATCTTAGTGCTTACTTCTTATTTAGTGAAGTGCTTTAATTTAAAAGTGCTCAGAACAGAAACTAACAATGGTGACTATGACATCAACCTGAAGATACTTTTCATTTCTCAATTTTATGTACAAAAGGCTGAAAAATAAAATAAAATGAACTTTGTACAGTATTTATATTTTCTTAGAAAACTCTAACCATATATTTTCAACAGATTTAAGCAGCTTGCAACATGTTTGTACAGTCAGGCTTTTCACCATAGAGGGTTCAGTCAAGATTGGAAGAGTAAAAAGCAAGAAGCTCTTCATTGTTTGCTGCAATCTATTGCTTAACAACATGAAGAATGAGGTCTTGGTAGAACAACACGCTTCACTTTACCACTGACATATGGCTTCCCATAATAGACTTCGGAACAGTGGAAGGATTAAGATACAGCAGCATCGGCAAGATAAACATGCAGCAGTGACAGCTTCAAACTATAATGGAACCAATTACATCATATTACCTGTTGAAAGCTTGCAAACTATACTTACTGTGGTACATATTTGATGCAATAAATACTGTGCTTAAATCATCATTTTTGTTTGCTCAAACATGCACCACTGGGTAAAATTACTATTTACAAAGCAGACTTTTGTTTTAAAATTGACATAAACTATGTCAACCTTACCAAGAGCAGAAGATGGCTAAACAATACTGCAGGAAAAAGAAGAATCAACTTTATAAAGTGGTGGTGGGGATGCTTTTTGGTCAATTCAGATTTCTTAGAAAGAACTGAGAGCATGTTTTAACTTTATGTTAAAGGACACTTATAAAAATGTTGTAGTCATGCTGCTAGGACTCAACTCTGAATGACTATGTAATGGTACGTGTGTCTCTGTAAGTGTGCGCGTGTGTGTATACATATATATGTATATACACGCACATATACATATATACATATATACATGTACATATAATGGATTATGTAAAAATAAAACAACTCTTAAATGCTGTGTTCTATGGAACATTTACAGGCACATTAAAATTTTTTTCTGGATGAAACATCTTAAAAATATGAATAGCTATTTTAAGCACCTCAAAAATCTAAAAACATCCTGAAACAAGAAGTAAACTCTTTCCTTGAGTGATGTGATATTTTTTCATATGTGAATGAGAATTGCAACATGCCTTCATTGAAAAATGCATCCAGTTATACAATAGAGAAATGGAGAGTTCCCTCCCTTGAATCCCTCTCCCCAAACATAAACCCAATTACAAAAATAGTCACATGTAATAGTAAACAACCTGTGAATTAAAAAAAAAAAGTGATAAATTCACAGCACACAATTTGTAAAAATATGGCAGGTGTGGCAGTTGAAACATAAACAGTGGTGACAACTACTGTTATCAAGTGTCACGTGTTGAATTTACATAAAAATTTAACTTCCCTCCCCCTTTGAAATTGGTTCCTATAGTCTGAGTAGCCATTGGGTCTCTGCTCTTCAGCAGTGTCAGCTGGTTGTGAAAACAGAAACCTCCTGTGACGCTGTTTCCCGGGTTTATTGAGTCCCCGTTTGCTGACCAGAGGTCGCTGTCTTGTTATAGGCACTGACCTTATGTATACATTTGTGAAAACAGTCAGTTTGGCATAGACCTCCTGTGGGAGTCCTGTTGACACAAATACATCACTATCACAGGCTGTAAACAATTGATCACAAAAATGGAATATTCTTTCTTCTTTCTACTTTTTACTTTCCCTGCTATCTTTCCCTTTGTCCTCCTTTTCTGATTTGTCTTTTTCAAATTTTTCTTTTTCTGGTTTGGTGACACTATCATATGAAGGTGGAGAAGTGGTAGAAGGTGTCATGTCGGTTTTCTCTGGGGTTGAATTCTCGTTTAGTTTGTCGATGAGTATGTCTTCTTTAATAGGTGTCCCGTCACCTTCTTTGCCTTTGTCTTTCTTATATATGGATGAAACCTTTTTAACCTTTTGCTTCAAGAGGTAGCGTCTGTAAGCCCTCTGGATAACAATAGCAGACACTTCCTCTTGTTTGCGCTTCAAAGTGGTGGTAATGGGCTCATAAGAGACTTTGGAGGGGTTTGATGCCATGAACCGCTCCTCCATCTGTATTCTAAGAGCATCCATCTCTCCACTCTCACCCAGAACACGCTTTGTGAAAGCAAACAAAATGTCAAGGCAGTGGATCCGGTCACCACTGACCATGGGCAGGTCCATGGCAATAAGCTGTACTTTGTTTGGTTTTGCTATGAGAAGAGGTGGGTCCAGGGCAGCGGCAAAATCAGAGAGCTTGGAGAACTCTATGAACTGGGTTGCATCGGGGTCGAACTTCTCCCAAACCTCGTAGAACATCTCGAAGTCATCCTCGCTCAGGGGCTCTGCACTTTCCTCCGTAGCAACACTGAAGTTCTCCAGGATGACAGCGATGTACATGTTCACCACCACCAGGAAGGATATGATGATGTAACTGACGAAAAAGAAAATCCCAACAGATGGATTCCCGCAGTCTCCCTTAACTGAGCTCCCGGGGTGATCTTTCTCAGGGTCACAGTCGGGTGGTCCACTATTGAGAATAGGTGCTAGCAATCCATCCCACCCAGCAGAGGTGGTAATCTGGAACAGGCAGATCATGCTATTGCCAAAAGTCTCAAAGTTGAACATGTCATCAATTCCAACTTCCCGCTTAACATAGGCAAAGTTGGACATCCCAAAAATGGCGTAGATGAACATGACTAGGAAGAGCAGGAGGCCGATGTTAAACAATGCAGGAAGGGACATCATCAAAGCAAAGAGCAATGTGCGGATCCCCTTTGCTCCTTTGATCAGACGTAGGATTCGGCCAATCCTGGCCAGGCGGATCACACGGAACAGGGTAGGGGACACAAAATATTTTTCTATCAACTCAGCCAGAAACATACCTATGGAAAAGCATCAAGCAAAAAAACAGTGTTAATAGTATCAAACAAAAATCCATAAGGTAAGCACTACCTAGTTATAAAAATCTAGACTTGACAGTTACATATATAACCATTTGTTTATATGCATTTATAATTTGCAGCTATTTGTTCAGCAATATAAAACTGATATGTTTGGTATTACAGCATTAGCATCGTCATATTAAATAAAGATAGCAATGGTCAGTCTTCTTATTTCAAAATAAGCATCCTGCAAAAGAATGACTCAGTCACTGGAAGTCCAGAGACAGCACAAAATGCATGGCAGCCAAGCATAGAAATGGATTTATACTTCCAAAATACTAGTCCCAGCATTTACATAGGAGCTAAAGGATAAGGCATGCGATTTTGGATGAGGAATACAAGAGTTCTTATTCTTCTAAAATACCTACGATCTTGTTTTCTTTGAGAGGAGGCAGAATGACATACAGGTGAAAAACACAGGCTTTGCAGACAGACACGCTTGGGACCGAATCCTGGCTGTTGATTTTGTGCATTACTAGATGGTGAAAATGCCAACATTTTGTTGTCGTTATTACTAAACTTAACATTTACTGAGTCCTGTCTTTGTACTAGACACAATGCTAAGCACATTAACCTAAATGTTCTAATCCTCACAGCAACTCTGCAGAAACACTCCTTGGAAAATGAAGGATTGGAAGGCTGAGGTAACTTGTCCTAGGTCACAGAGTTGGTAAACAGTGGCATAAGGCAGCCCCCAGGTGAGATCAGTAGAATCCCCAATTCTCATCTCTTAATTACTGTGTTACCATCATCCTGGCCCTATTGTGAGGAGCCAATGGAATGATACAAGAATAAAATGTCCTGTTATATTAGAGGAAGCAGTGAGAACAATGATATACCATTTTTCTCCCTATATCTACAAAGGTACTTCACAAAGCTCAGAGAATACTAAAAGATCAACTTATCTTGGTGCTACAAATATTTAAAATCTATGTACAGAGGGCTCTTCCATAAATTTATTGAAAATAAATATTATAAAACACTATGCATGAATTTAAAAAATGTTTGCACCAAAATAAACATATTCTAAATGAATTATTTTCATGAACTTTTGGAAATACACTTGGATGTTCCTTTTCTTCCAATAGGCAGAACCTTGTCTTGACTTCCATCACCTAATATACTACACATAAACACTTAACATATATTGATGATAATGAATCTGTTTTGCGTTTTTGAATCCAATGTCTTATTTTGAAAATGAATATTACATTCCATAGATAATTATCTGAACACCAAGATAATATGAAGTCTGTTGTGTCATTATTTGACACAACACTATTTGAATTATCAAAGAAATGATACTTATATGGATGGCTTCTAATGATTTTTGTGTTTAAGTGTATGTGAAGTATTCATTTAAAGCAATACCTGTCTATACCACAGGAATATGACTGAAAATAAGAGTATTATGTCGAAGTTTAATTATTGTCTTCTGAATGAGGCAAAACAATAAATGACAGGTGAAAATATAAATTCTTTTGACACATCAGTTCATGCACAGCATGCAATTAGAGAAGTGACTAAACAATAAACATGAATTTTACTTGGACGTTCAAGATGAATAGGAAAGACTAATGAAAACACTTCTAAAGTTTTAAAATACAAATTTTCACTCCAAAATTCTTCAATTGAGTGAAAGCACCTCTTACCTACTATGGAGAGAATGACCACTACAAAATCAAAAATATTCCATCCAATCGTGAAATAATAATAGCGAAGAGAAATTAGCTTTAGCACACATTCTCCAGTGAACAGAACAATAAACACTAAATTAATCCAGTACAAAATGTTCGTCATTTCTTGACTCTGGTCATCAGTTTCCACCATCATGGTGACCATGTTGAGGCAGATGAGGATCATGATGCTGATATCAAAGACTTGCTTGGTTACAAAATCAAAGACCATGCCCTGGAATTTGTTCTGGAACAAATAATACATAAGAGTGTATTTAGATAGTTAAAATCTTATTTTAATATCACACTATAAAACATGGCTTTTATAAAACATATCACACTTATACTTGGAAGATAATTTTGTTTTTCAGAATATCCAACTCTTTGAAATGTGTTTGTTTATATTATTCATGATGCCAGACTCTATAAGTTGACTAAATATTAAGATCTACATATTATGTTCTTAGTTTCTAGAACATAACACGTTTAGATGGATTGTCAGCAGATATTTGCCACTATAACAAATCTTTTTATTCAATATATTGATGGTGAATATTAAAATTAAGAAGTAATAAATACTCCTGAAGATTTTTCTCTCTTTCTTTTTCCTTTTTATTCACTCATCACTGCCAAAGATCTTAAATTCATCTTAAAGGTCAGCTGAGAGCTGTTTTCAAAATTATAACTTAAGCACACTGCGAGGTAGCACGTTATGGAGCGAGTGTTGGGTCCCTGACATCCCTGTGATAGATCTTAAGACTGAGTTTCCCATTGTGACTTCAGCCTGACCCATCCCTGGCTATTGTAAGCATGTGCGGAGAGAAGCAGCAGATGGGAGATCTCTGTCTGTCTCCACCTGTCTATCTGTCTCTCTGACTTCCAAATACATCAAAAAGATAGCTTAAGAAAAGGGACATTAGTAAAAAACTGATAAACTGCAATTAATTTCTGTGATCTAATGGTATTTTACCAAGGTTATCATTTTAATTTTAATAACCAATTTATGGTTATGTAGGATGTAAAAATAAGTTATGTAGGATGTTAAAATAAAATAGCTGTATGAAGATTATATGGGCAATTTTTCTGAATTAATAAAATCATATTTTAAAAAGCTACAGCTCATAATTATACTAAACCTTTGCTTTCCCAGATCTTAACATTTTCACCGGTCTTGATATTTAATATTACAGTTATGCCCCTTCTACTTGGAGAGCTTCCATTACTTCCAATTGAAATTCTTGGACATCAAACATCACCTGCTCTATTTTCTTTTCTCTTGATATGGATTTGGTACAATTTACCGATGTTTATTAAGGGTTTCCAAAAAGTTCATAGAAATTACACATTATGAAAAAACTATGTACAGATTTCAATCTTTGCACCAAAATATACTTATCTTTTAACTTCACTTTCCACAAACTTTTTGAAGTCCTCTCACATTCATGCAGCTGGGTCTGCCCTCCCAAGGCCTCCTTTAACTTAATAAATGTGTCAAATTCCAGTCCCAACCATTTCTTATAGTTTACCTTTCTTAGTTTAGTATGTTCCCCATGCTTCTACCTTTCTGTTAGCACCCACCTACACCTCTTATTAAAATTTGAAGGTTCTGCCCTATCATTTTAACTGTTTATCTATCACACTGTATCACACTGCCTAAAACAAAGTTCCCCACCTCTTGTCTGTCTGGTGAATTCTAACTCAATTTTAAGCGAAGTGATCTGGGCTCTTGGAAAACGTGATTGTTTCATTTACCATAACATTTTTGACTTTGTATTGTAAATGGTTTGTTTATTCATTTTATTTACTTTATTTCTTCCACTTGTTGGGAGGCTCCTCAAGAACAGGGCAGTGTCATTTTTCTCACAGATGTAGCACCTAGGATTCATTAAGTTCAAAATGCATTGAAAGCAGAAATTTGGCCTTAAAATCTTATATCATCACAATAGAAAGCTCCCAAGATTTGCTGCACATTTAGTTAAGTAACAGTGAACCTCTCCAGTCATGAGTCATTGCTGCCTCCAGTTGAAATTCTGGGTGTTGGATATGCTAAAGAAGCCTGAAGAAGCAGAACAACTCTCAAGGTCTTGCTTTCCAAGATACATGTTCTGTAACTTCACCTTGGCCCTTAATAGCAATGAGAAATCCTGAGTCCCTCATTTGCTCCCAGGACAATTTCAAACTTCTCAGAAATTTCCCATTATGTTTCCTTTTTTTCTTGTTTTCTGAGAAAGTCAGTTAGTGTAAGGAAATTCCTTTACTTCTTTAGAATTTCCGGTTATCTTTTTTTTTTTAAAGATTGATTTATTTAGAGAGATAGAGAAAATCAGAAAATTAAAATTTTCCATCCACTGGTTTGCTGGTCCACTCTCCAGGTGGTTGCAATAGCCAGGACTGGGCCAGGCCAAAGCCAGGAGCCAAGAGCTTTGTCCAGGTCTCCCACAATGGGTGGCAAGGGCCCAAGCATTTTGGCCATCCTCTGCTGCTTTTTCCAGGTCATTAGCAGGGAGCCAGATCAGAAGTGGAGCAGCTGGATATGAAGCCACACCCATATGGGATGCCAGCATTGCAGGTGGCTTCATCTGTTATACCACCATGCCGGCCCCAATTTTCTGGTTATCTCGATTTTCATATTTTCATACATTGCTAACAATTCTTTAGAATACTCAGTTCCTCTTCCTCTCTAAATCTGACCTAAACATCCTTGTTCTTCATTCATATCCTGTGTGACTTTATTGTAGGTTTACTCCTCTCTTCAATCTCTATCCCTACAGAACTCCCTTCACTGTGCCTCAAACCTTACCTCTCAATTCTAAGAGAACTTTGTTGGACTACTTCCTCTAAATATCCATCATTTCTCTTCCTCCCTCCCTCTTTGCTTTTGGTTGCCCTGTTCAGGAAGTCAGCACTTCGGATGTTTCTCCCCACCCTTGTCCCTCCCTCACATACTGCATGGCACTGTCCAAATGTGCAACGCAGAACCTCATCAGTCATTCTTGCTGCTTCCTTACTTTTTCCCATATTCAATTAGTAGACAAACTTTCAACTTTCACTCTGAGGGTAGTTCAGACATCCATACACTTTTATTTCCACACCACTCTGGTTTAAGCTGCCTGTTGTCTCTGAAATTGCTTCAAAGCAGGTCTACAATGCATACACACTGCTTCTAGCAAACTAATTGAAAGATAATCACAAAAACCAAAAAAATCACAAACCCTTTCAATGGCTTCCTACTGCTCTTAGGATAAACAATTCCTGAAGCTGAACTATGAGGCCCATAAAATGCTGGCCCAGTGAGACCTCTTCATCCTGAAAACGCTCCAAAGGAACCCCCATTATCTGCAGCAGAATCTCACCAGTTTTCTGTCTCAGGGCCTTCAAAGATGTGCTCTCTGTCAGAAGACTCTTTTCATCTCAGTTTTCCTGTCAGCACTTTCTCATTCTTCTTGGCTCCCCAGCTGATACCTCACTTTAATAAATCCTTCCCTAACTTTCTGATTAATCAGACCCCTGCTCTGAATGAGCACTTACAGCCCAAGCTATCTGTTCCTTCCTGGCATTTTCATTTGTTGATATGGTTACTATCTGGTTACTAGTCATTTCATTAACTAGATTCAACATTGGTCAATATGAGGACACTTCAAAACTTTGTAGGAAAATGAAGTTGAAAGAAATTTATATGGTGTAAATGTGTTTTTAAATTCATGCATAGTTTAATCACAATAAACATTTCCATAAATTGTTATGGGCACCCCTGATATTTAAATTTAAATGTCTAGCATGACACATGGTACTTATTGTTAACAAAGAAGTGAATGAATGGATTTTACCAGTTAACTTCCTAATTTGCCAAACTGTCACTGTTAATATTCTAGCTAAATGCACTGATGTTTTCCCATGAATCTCTGCCCCAACCCAGGTACATCTATGTGTTATTTATTGTAATTAGACAATCTCTTTGCTTAAAAAAACCTCATTATCAAATGTATCTACTGCCTTCCTGATCAACCTCATCCCTTCATTGATTTACTTCTCTCTATAATTTGGTGAAGTGCCAGCAGTGTCTGCCAGCTCAGGATTTTTTTTTCTTTCTATTCTAACTACTTTGCAAAAATAAGTCTGTACTTCTCAGCTCAGTCAAATTCTGTTCTGATGGCTCTAAAATCCGTATCTCAGTCTGAACGTATGATAGGTCCTACATCTATATTTCCAAATATCTTCACAGGATTTCAATTTATGTTGGTGGAACTGATAGGTCCACAAAACACCCACTACTTTAAACTCCCCAATATTTGGTATATCTCTCCTTATATTACATAGCTGCCTCATTCCACTGAGTATTCTTAATGGCCCATTTAGCCTTTGGATTCCAGTCTTGTTTGTATGAACCCAGATTATGAATTTGTCTTACTGTACATAAGGGTTCAACTTCTTGCCTATGGGGAAAAATATCTTGTCTCTAACATCTTCACTTCCCAGTCTGTGGGTTAAATCCTCAAAAAAAAAAAAAAATCTGATTTCTTCACATTACTATGCTGTTCCCCTAACTATATCACATTTGTATTGCTTACCTAAGATCAATTGCTTCAGACTCACGTGGTAACCTTTACTCATTTAACCCAGAAAACCCCATGTCTATTTCTCCTCAATACAACTATATCACTATTCTCTACTGAAATATTGCATTATCATGAGTTTGGAACATATGTTTTCTCACATAGAGATCATCCCCTTCTTTTCATTCCATCCATTCAAATTTAGTATCATTTCTCAAAAAGTTGGCTCCAATTGCACGTTCTGTGTGGTTTATGAAATGTAGCTTGAGCTATTAGCTGACTTACAAACTGAAAACATAATCATGGTCAATTTTTTATTGTCATCAATGCATTTACTACATCAAGATTTTTGGGGAACATTGAATTGCTTACACTATGTACATGTGTACATGTGGAGGAAGCTTTCTGAGATTTAATATCTGAACTGTTCCTTCAAGAGTGATGACATAACCCAAGGGCTCTCTTGACAACTTCCTGCAGTAGGCCAAATAGAATCAGCAACTAAATATGCAATTGGAAGAGCCATAGTCATAAAAAACATGGTATTATCCCATTTAGGGAATGTTAGGAGAAAATAGGAGGTTTGGTTATATTTTTAACCAGAAAAAAACAAATCTTGTGACCCATTTCATTAATAATTCCATTCAATATGCAGTAGAAAATAGTCCTATCTGAGATACACTAATTGTTTCAATCATTCCCCATGCAGAGAATATTTAATATTACCACATTATGCAGAGATATGTATGTGTTTTCTTAACCACATTATTAGAAACTCCTCAATAACATCCATTTTGTGTGCTACTACTGGCATTTAAGTCTGAATTTTTCAATTTATATGTTGTATATATTTAGATATAAAATGTTACTTATAAAATTTATAATATTGTGTAATATAGAATACAAATATTCAATTTATTTAGCTAGTCACACTATTAAGGTTAAAAATTTGCTGCAAATTGACAAAAATACTAATTTCTAATAATTTTGGTTTTGAAAATGTTGGATAATATCACTTTAACTGGTGATGAAAGTATGCTATCCTTACAGCAGGTCGAGGTATAGGTTTTTGTGGCTTCTTTGAACCAAGTTTTTTCATTGCATTGTAGTATTTCTTCTGTTCTTCCGTCATAAAAATGTCTTGACCTCCAAAGTAAAGAAATGAATGAAAACTTATTAAAAGCATATTCTTTTCTAACCATATAATCCACCTCAGTAATCTTGTGACCATAGGCTCCCATGTTCTATATAATGTTGTTAATATCTGTATTTATGGAGATGTATATATTAAATATATGAATTGTGCTATATTAGTCATACTTCTATACCAGAAATACCAAAATATATTATAGGAATTATCAATTAAAATTTGTACTTTATCAAATATCTCAAAGTAATTTATGAATTTTATATTCTTTTATTTTGCTGATTACATTTTGGAGCATACAAAGATATAGTGCAGTGTGTATAGTTCACATTTTAGAACAAAGATGAAGTTTTAATATACTTATCTTTTTTTTCTGTTGGTTGAAGTTATCTATGATGACACCAATGAAAAGATTCAAGGTAAAGAATGAACCAAAAATAATGAAGATGACAAAATAAAGGTACATATACAGATTGTCTTCATACTTGGGTTGCAATTCTACCTACAAAATACGAAGAATGATAATCATTAGATCTTATATTCCTTTCATAAAAAACACATCAGTGAATTTTGAACTCCTCAAGCATATATTGCATGAAAAGAAATCAAACATTAAAAAAGTAAGTTGAATATAATGCAGGCTATTAATAAGGAAGATGAAGAGAATTTTGAATGTATTATTCAAAGACATATCAAAGTATTGAGGAAAGTAGTTATGAGCTCATTGCTTGTGGTCAGAGTTCAAAGACGTGTTCTACATTTAATGTGGTAAGCCACATTCTTCAACGGTAAAATGGAATTGGTATTACCTGTGTGATAAAATTAATTAAGATTAAATGAGCTAATTCAAGAAATCCCTTAGCACCATGAGCAATAATAAATAACAAATTATTATTCAGAAAGCATCCATAGCTGAGAACCCTGATAGCTCTGACAGAGATAAAATATGGGGTTTTTAGTTCTCTCTCACCACTGCTCCCCCTCCCCCTGGCTCCGGCTTTTATAAAGTGAAAAAGGTTTTATGAATTCTTTATTTGCAAAGCCAGCTGCATGGTTGAGGTCTTGGCACAGTGGGGTAAGCCAATGCTTGGGACACCAGAATCCTAGTTCACTACTGGCTGTTCTGCTTCCCATCCAACTCATTAGAAATGCAGCTTGGAGGGCAGCAGATGCTGGCTCAATACTTGGGTCCCTGCTACACACATGGTAGACCTGGATGGGATTTCTGTCTCCTGGCATTGGCCTGGCCCATATTGACTATTACGGCCATTTGGGGAGTGAACCAGTGGATAGAAGCACTTGATTTCTCTCTCTCTCTCTCTCTCTTTCTCTCTCTCTTGACATTCTGCCTTCTAACCTACCAACCAACCAAATAAATCTGTGTGTTTTTTTTTTTTTTAATTTAAAAGCTAATTGCTGGTGTTAGAGAAATAGCATTTTGAACTTAATTACCAAGCTCTTGCAAACCAACATGTGATTTCCTCCCTTGTTAAACAGTGACAAATCAGTGAAAACTGTAGAAAAAATTTGAAAAGTACTGATGCATATGACACAGATTTGAAAATTCCTGCCTTCTATCATAATATCTCACCTCCAGAAACACTTCTAAATTTATTTTGGTTCTTTTTTCCAGCCATTAGTCAAATCTTTACTATTACAAGGAAGATAAAATGCTGAATGAAATGTGTGACAAAGGAAGGAAATTTTCCAGGAGGGCTTTTAATGCATGAATGGTTGGGATGATCAGCACCAAAACCAAACTGCCTCATTTTTATAAATACAATAAAAAAATTTTAGGCATGAATTATCATGCTAAATAATAGCAAAGGTATATTAAAATATGAAAGATGAATCAAGAAAAACATTCTCATAGAATTTTGAAAGAAATGTATAAGTAGTTTTTCTTTATAATATAGGTGTACTCTGAATTGGTCCATAGATTTTACTTTGTTGAAACCATATCTAAATTACAACACTGTAGAAATGTTCACCTGACCAAATTAAACAATGTTTCCTCTAAACAAACTTACATTTCGTGAGTCGACAGCTGCATACATGATATCCATCCATCCTTTAAATGTGGCCTGTAAAAAGTCATATCCTTTAATTTTTTCATAAATTAGAACTGTAGAAAATATAGTAAGTATCTGAGAAGTTGACCATATTCCTTCAAATGCAGGTATATAAAAAAGTTTGATGTTAACATCTAAACTTTTGGGAAATTTTTAAAACATAGGAATTGAAAGTATCTCAGATTTACATTCTTTTATAATATTTTTATATGTTCATTAACATCTATAATTAAATTGACTTACTAACTATATACTATCATAAAAGTAGTATCTACATTTTTATTCTTATCTGATTATTGGAATATAACATAAAATTTGATGAAAGAATATCACTGATATAATATCAGAATGAGATAAGTCCAAAAGAATGCTGAATTATCTGATTATAAAGTTTTTTCTTATTTTTTCTAAATGATGTTACTAATCAATAATACGGTATTTTTAACCATTTTGAGATAATTATTCTGTAAGAAGCAGTCTCCTGCTATTAAAGAATACATATTTAATGACAATTTAATATTTTAAATACTTATTTTCTGTTGTGTGTGCAGACTATTCCTGAAAACAAGTCTTGCACATTTTTTTTCAGTCTCTTAGTGCCACAGGATCTGTGTTTTGCTTGATTATTGCTATAGTGTTTGGGGTTGTAAAGATAGATCACCTCAGGGAGCAGGTGGATGTGAGACATTATGCTCTGCTGATGAGTTGAAAGAATTCTTACAAACAAAGAGCAGACAGAATAGTCTTGAAAGTAGGGGTTTTATTTTCAGGAGATTAAAGTGTTCAACCAGCAGGCAGGAAGATGGTAATGAGGACAGAATTTGAGCATGGGTATAAGAGTAGTACACTTGGTTACGGTATTGATAATATTTGGGTGAGTGGAGGCTATATTCTGTCTGCACTTGAAAAGGAGCACAGAATCTACCTCTCACTCCTCTCCCAGAAAAATAAAATACATTTATTCCTTACTCCCAGGGACAAGCATCTCTACTTTGCTCAGAGTTGAAATGGGAGAAAACAATGAAAACCTAGACAGAATTTCACAAATAAGGGACATGGACTGGACTCCCTAACTCAGTCTGAGAAACTATAAACTTCGTGGAGCTGCCTTGTTTTCAACATGGAACAGAAAATATAGCTCAACAATTACTGAGGAAGAATTCAGGCAAATAAACCTTAGAAGGATTTTGCAAACGCTAGGGAAGAACTGATTTTTATTTATATTAAATCTTTTATCCTTTTATGTAGTTTATTGTATTTATGTAGAATATATATGCATTTTTGTTCTGTTTTACATTTATTTTTACATTGGCAAAAAATTATATAGATGCTGTACAGCATGATATTTTCAATTATATATACATCGTGGAAGAGTTCACTCAATCTAATTAAGATATGCATTACCTAACATATCATTTTTTGTGATGAGAACACTTAAACTCTACTCTTTTCATGATTTTCACGTATACAAAACATTATTAAGTATAATCACTATGCTATACAATAGATTTCTGGAGTGTTTTCTCCTATCTAATTGGAACTTTGTATCTCTTGATGAACAACTCTCCTTCTCCCTATCTTCAGCCCCTGGAAATTCTATTCTACCCTCTATTTCTATGAGCTGGACTTTTTTAGATTTATATATAAATGAGATCACATGGTATTTTTCTTTTTGTGCCTGGATTATTTTATTTAACACAATGACCTCCAGGTTCATTCATGTTGTCACATAGGATGTGGTTTTTTCTTTATTAAGGCTGAATATAATTCAACTGTGTATACATACCACCTTTTTGTTATTCACCCATCCATTGCTGAACACTTATGCTGATTCTGTATTTTGACTATTGTTATGGTGCTGTAATAAACATGCAGTTTAGATATCTGTTTTGAAGGCAGCAGTTTCATTTCCCTTGGATATATGCCCAAAAGTGCATTATAGGTACTCTTATCATTAACTTTTTGAGGAACATCCACACTGTTTTTAACAATGGTTGTATTAATTTACTCTTCAACGAGCAAGTTTGCAAGGGTTCCCTGTTCTCCACATCCCCACAAATGCTTGCCTTTCATTTTTTGGATAATATTCATTCTAACATGTGTCAGGCAATATCTCCTTGTTTTGGAGAAGAATTTTAGACTCATTATAATTATGTATCACAGAGATTACTAAAGTGATTACTTACTACTTGAAGCAGAGAAAGATATCCAAGTCCCACATTATCAAAGTTCACTTTCACGTTTTTCCACCTGGCAGTTTGATTGCTCTCTATGAGGGCTTTACATTCGCTGTAGTTGTTGACTACACTGACATCAAACATCTCGCCCGTGGTGAAGTTAATGCAATGGTAAAACTTGCCAGCAAAGAGATTCACTCCCATGATACTGAATATTAGCCAAAAGATCAAGCAGACCAATAGTACATTCATGATGGATGGGATGGCTCCTAAAAGAGCATTCACAACCACCTGGTGCAAAATGAGAAGAAAAATAAGGGAGAGGCTAACACCACATTTTTTTTCACTTATTTTAAAACATTATAAAAAGAACTGGTCAAATGTTAGAAAGTATATCTGTTCTCTAAACTGTTGAATAGGACTAGGCTCTGGTAGCTCTAAGAATTTTAAAATTATAATTCTTAAGAGCATATGATAAATCTTATATGATAAAATGTTTATTCAAGACATAAAGGTACACATGTAATAAATTTTTCTGAAAGAGTACTATTGTGAATGCGAAGAGTAAGTGCAAATAGTGAGATCTGAGTAAAGAAGCAAGGTCATCATGTGAATCTCACAATTTTCTTAAAAACACAAAATCAAGCCAGTGCCAGTGTTAAATCACAACTTACAATGCCGGCATGCCAGATGGCTGCTTGTTTGAGTCTCAGCTGTTCCATTTCTGATCCAGTCCCCTGCAAATGGGCCTGGAAAAGCAGCAGAAAAGGGCCCAAGCACTTGGGTCCCTGCCACCAATGTGGGAGACTCAGATGAAGCTCCAAGTTCCTAGCTTCAGCCTGGCCTAGCCCCAGTCATTAAGACCATTTGGGAGCTGAACCAGTGGATGGAAGATCTCTCTCCCTCTCTCTCTCTCTCTCTCTCTCTCTCTCTGGCTCTCTCTATCTATCTCTGCCTTTCAAAAAGATAAAATAAATCTTTTTTTTTTTTTTTTTTTTTTTTTTTTTTTTTTTTTGACAGGCAGAGTGGACAGTGAGAGAGACACAGAGAGAGAAAGGTCTTCCTTTGCCGTTGGTTCACCCTCCAATGGCCGCCGCTGCAGCCGGCGCACCGCGCTGATCCGATGGCAGGAGCCAGGATCCAGGTGCTTTCCTGTCTCCCATGGGGTGCAGGGCCCAAGCACCTGGGCCATCCTCCACTGCACTCCCTGGCCATAGCAGAGAGCTGGCCTGGAAGAGGGGCAACCGGGACAGAATCCGGCGCCCCAACCGGGACTAGAACCCGGTGTGCCGGCGCCGCAAGGTGGAGGATTAGCCTATTGAGCCACGGCGCCGGCTAAAAAAGATAAAATAAATCTTAAAAAAGTAATTGAAAAAAATCATGCCAACTCCATAATTTGCAATCTAAAATTTGAGAGTAAAGGAAAACACCTGAAGCCAAATTCTATATAGAAAATAAGAAAATTGTGTTAGTACTGAAATTTTAATACCCTTTGTTTATTAAACTTACTACAAAAATAGTTATTTCAAGTTGGTAAAAAGAACAGCAATTTCTTTTTATGTAACCACACACACATACACGAACACAGCCACACGCATACCATTTGTTTCTAGGTGTGTTTGCAACAATAAGATGAAGTCTAAGAAATCATTTTCAAATATCACAGAAAGCATCATTTTCCAAAAATTGTATTTAAACAGTTAAAACCACTGAGACAGAGCATCATTGTTAATAGGGGTGAAGGCATGTGGTCTGCAGTCTCAGGTTGTATGCCCCAGGGGATGACAAGTCAGCTAGTTCCATGGTAGCACCTTTCTAAATGAATATTCACTTTACACAGCTGACCTACTTTTTAGCCATCTCAGGCTGTGTTTAAAAACTAAAAGACCACGTTCAGACTACAAATAGCTTAAAGTACATCATGTGGAACATTGAAGAATGATGAGTAACGATTCGGTATTTTTAAATTTCAGTGAATAGGATTTCCTTTACTTACATAAATGGAATGGGCATAACTAATCATGATTCAAATCAGTAGTTGCAAAAAAATGTTAATGATTTCCCACGAAGCAAAAATCCAGTCAACTAGAAACAAAGACTCAGGTATCACATTGTATGAGTGTCTCCAATGGTGGCAAGTAGTATGGATATCTGATCAATATTTGCTTACTTGATTTCTCATCAGTATAAATGTAGAAAATGCAGATTATCCATGAAATTACCATTTTTAAACATTTATTTAATAAATATAAATTTCCAAAGTACAACTTTTGGATTATAGTGGCTTTTATCCCCATAACCTCACTCCCACCTGCAACCATCTCATGTCCCACTACCTCTCCCATCCCATTCACATCAAGATTCATTTTCAATTATCTTTATATACAGAAGATCAACTTAGTATAGACTAAGTAATGATTTCAACAGTTTGCACCCGCACAGAAACACAATGTATAAAGTACTGTTTGAGTACTAGTTACACTGTTAATTCAAATAGTACAGAACATTAAGAACAGAGATCCTACATGGGGAGTAAGTGCACAGTGACTCCTGCTGTTGATTTAACAATTGACACTCTTATTTATGACATCAACAATCCTCTGAGGCTCTTGTCATGAGCTGCCAAGGCTATGGAAGCCTCTTGAGTTTGCCAGCTCTGATCTTATTTAGACAAGGCCATAGTCAAAGCAGAAGTTCTCTCCTCCTCCAGAGAAAGGTACCTCCTTCTTTGATGGCCCGTTCTTTCCACTGGGATCTCACTCACAGAGATCTTTCATTTAGTTTTTTTTTTTTTTTTTTTTCCACAGTGCCTTGGCTTTCCATGCCTGAAATACTCTCATGGGCTTTTTAGCCAGATCTGAATGCCTTGAGGGCTGATTCTGAGGCCAGAGTGCTGTTTAGGACATCTGCTGTGTATCCCACTTCCCATGTTGGACTGTTCTCTCCTTTTTAATTCTATCAGTTAGTATTAGTAGACACTAGTCTTGTTTATGTGATTTCTTTGACACTTAATCCTATCATTATGATCAATTATGAACTGAAAGTGATCACTTTGACTAATGAGATGGCATTGGTACATGTCACCTTGATGGGATTGAGTTGGAATCCCCTGGCATGTTTCTAACTCTACCATTAGGGGCAAGTCCGATTGAGCATGTGCCGAACTGTACATCTCCTCCCTCTCTTACTCCCACTCTTATATTTAACAGGGATCACTTTTCAGTTAAATTTAAACACCTAAGAATAATTGTGTGTTAATTAAAGGGTTCAACCAATGGTATTAAGTAGAGCAAAAAATTACTAAAAGGAATAAAGTAGTAAGTTGTTCCTCGACATTCAGGACAAGGGCTGATCAAGTCACTGTTTCTCATAGTGTCCATTTCAGTTCAACTGGTTTCCTTTTAGGTGCTCGGTTAGTTGTTACTGATCAAGGAGAACATATGATATTTGTCCCTTTGGGACTGGCTTATTTCACTCAGCATGTTTTCCAGATTCCTCCATTTTGTTGCAAATGACATTTTCAAGGTAAAAAAATGTCAGTCTGTTCTCGTTCACAGTTCACAGGAATTCTAAAGCATTTTGTCTTACCCTCATTCCTTCAAAGCGGGATAAGGCTCTCAATGGTCTCAGGGCTCTTAGTGTTCTGAGAGATTTGATGGCACCAAGTTCTGAGTAACCCAATGCATTTGCCGTTAAGCTAACCAATGAGACCTATACAGAAAAAGCAGACAATTTTCTTATTTACAAACAAAAATGTTTACACATTTCAACCTTGCTTTGTGCAATACACCAATGGTTCTCAAACTTTCAAAATCACCCAGGATGCTTATTAAAAACACTGACAACTGGCCAGCACTGTGGCTCACTATGCTAATCCTCCACCTGTGGCGCTGGCACCCCAGGTCCTAGTCCCGGTCAGGGCACCAGATTCTGTCCCAGTTGCTCCTCTTCCGGGCCAGCTCTCTGCTGTGGCCAGGGAGTGCAGTGGAGGATGGCCCAGGTGCTTGGACCCTGCACCCCATGGGAGACCAGGAGGAAGCACCTGGTACCTGGCTTCGGATTGGTGCAGCGCGCCAGCTGCAACATGCTGGCCTTAGCGGCTACTTGGGGGGTGAACCAACGGAAAAGGAAGACCTTTCTCTCTGTCCGTCTCTCTCTATCTCTCTCACTGTCTAACTCTGCCTGTCCAAAAAATAAAAAATAAAAAAATAAAAAAAAAACACTGACAACTAGCAAAACCTCATTTAGCAGGTTTGGGATTTGCAGCTGAGTGTTTGCCTTTCTACAGGTTCCCAGGAGAGGCTAACATTGCAGGCCTGTGAACCACACTTAAGAAAAGAAGTTGGACACAGGAATTGTAGCACAGCAACAGATTAAGCTAGCACCCGCAATGCTGGCACCCCTTATGGGAGTTGGTTCAAGCCCCGCTGCTCCACTTTGATCCCGCTCTGTACCAATGCAGAAGATAACCCAGGTACTGCAGTCCCTACCATCCACATGGGAGACCTGGATGGAGTTCAGGCTGTTGGCTTCCACCTGGCCCAGTCCAGGCTGTTGAGGAGTGAACCAGTGAATGGAAGGTCTCTCTCTCTCTCTCTGTCACTCCATCTCCCTCTGTAATTCTGCCTTTCAAAATAATAAATATTAAAATAAAAGGAGCTATGCTTGTTCTTTTTTCAAGATTCTTCACAGAAAATATATTTTTAAAAGATTTATTTATTTGAAAGTCAGTGTTACAGAGAGAGAGGGAGAGACATATAGAGAGAGATAAAGACATCTTTCATCCTCTGTTTCACTCCCCCAACCTCACCCCACCATCCCCCCTGCAGATGGCTGTAACAGCCAGGCCTAGACCAGGCTGAAGCCAGGAGCTTCAACAGGTCTCCCATGTGCATGCAGGGGCCCAAGCACTTGGGCCATCTTTCGCTGCTTTTCCCAGGGAGCTGGATTGGAAGTAGAGCAAGCAGACTCAAACTGACACCCATAGGGGATGCTGGTGGTACAGGTGGCAGCTTTACCAAGTATGTTGTAACACTGGCCCTGACAGAAATTTCAACCAAAAAAAAAAAATACAGTAGAAAGAAAAGAACAACTGTGATCTTCATCTACAGATCTATAAAACTGTCACTTGTCATATTATTTCACAGACCTGAAAGGGAAATTAAAACTTGTTACACCAGTAAACTATACAAATCACTGTGTAAATGAACATAAACACATTCAGACAAGCCCAGGTCTCTAAACAGCAACTTTGTCTTTTTGCAAATTTCAATGTGAAGGGCACAAAATCATTCGGTAAGTCAAATAAAATTAGTGAATTCAAAAGTGAAAAGTTAAGATTTTATTATAATTATAAATTGCAAGATGAATGTTTTGTTGAGTTATTCATGCTGATGACTAATATAGTTAACAAAAAATTGTAAAGTCTCAGATAAAAAGGAAAAGAATAACTATCGTAAATGACACAGAAATGCCTGATTTCTTTTGGAATAAATACAGAAAACTCATTAAAACTATATATTCTAAGGAAATAATGTTTACTATGCCTTTTAAGAGTACAGCTTTAATACGTATTTAATTTATTTTATGGAATGTAAGTATATAGAAATGTATTTTAAAAATTTGACTTATTTAAACTTATTTCATATATGCAACATGAAAGTTTGTGGCTATTTATAAATTTAGAAAAAATATTAAGCTATAAATTTTATCTCCAATGGTTAATGTAATTTCCCTAAAACCTAAGATTTTGGAAGCTACTGAATTATCCAGAATTGTAAAGATTTTCTGTATATAACATCTAAGGACCTGTAGTACTTTACCTTCTCTGAAGAAGAACCAAAAAGAGACAGGCATAAGTTAAAGGATGGAAGATAGAAAGTTAGACATATGAAGACATTCTGAATAGGGGAAGTACTTACCACCTTGTTAAAACGGATGGTAAAATATCCAATTTTATGTGCCCTGTGTAGCTAAGTGTGCAAAGGAGTGACATGTAGGCTTTTCCTGGGACACTACAGCAATCATATAATTGGTCTTTTGGTCTCTAATAACCCCATTTATATTCCATCATTCACACTCCCCCCAAAATCTTTCTTTAAAGTAGCAAGCTGGTCTTGAGACTTCCCTGCAGGTAATTCTTCAATGGCTTCCTCACTACTAAACTGTAAATTTCTTTAGACAGCATCTCAGTTTCTTCCAACTGTTCTCCTACTTACCTTTCTTACCTTATCACCCAATTGCAAACCTTTTCCTTCACTTCCTGGCACTCTGTGCTTATCCTCAATAACTTCTGCTTTGAATCAGCCCTGCATGTCATGCATCAGTGTTTTAATCCTTCGGAGTCCTTCCCTAATCAGTACCTACTAACATTCTCATCCTTCAAACTCCAGCTCACACTTCACTTCCCGCAGGAAACCATTCTCAAGGGAAGCAAATGACACTCTTATTACAGGTGTCAACTTGTCATAGTATACATATCTGTTCTCACTAGCCAACAAAGCTCCCACAGGACTAGAAAAATCACTTACTCATATTTATAGCTTCCATAACAGATAAACAATAAACATATTGGAATTAAAGCAAAGTATTGATCAGTTTATTATGTTACAATAATTTTCTTAAACCAAAAAAGGTAAACACCAATGCACATTAGATAATGTGAATTCTGGCTGCAAGACAACTATATTGCTCTTAGAAACCTTTTTATAGTCAAGTAATGTTGACTTATTGTTTCTATCTTTACATAGATGTCAGATGATTTATATTATATATTTGCCGACCTATCATAACCACATATAGAGTGCAGAGGAAAGAATGAGTACTTATATTATAATGTATAATCACTTATACAAATAAAAGGTTTGTGACTTTTCTATTGTTTGTAATGAATGTCCAAACTTTTATGTATGAGTTTAAATATTTTCATATTTTATCACCAGAAAGCTTTTAACATTTTATGTATAAATCATTATGTGTTATATTTAATAGTTTCATTGATATTCAATTATTTAAAAACTCTCTTATGTTGTAATACTCTATCTTTATTTCAGTATTAATGAAATTTAATAAAACCTTTAAATAATTGGCTAATGGCAAGTCTATTTCTATCAGCAGAAAGATCAAATGGTGTCTCTCGCGGTTTTGGACTTTCAGTTTCCTTATAATTAATAATCCAGCTGTGTGACAAACCCTTCTCAACAGGCTTTTGTAATGAGAAAGATACCACTGCCAAAGATGCCTGGGAAGAATTTAAATAGAGTTACTTTGTGAAACATGAGAATGAAAACAGCAAAATTTCTAAATTCATATATTATCTTGCATGACTTGCGATTTCAAATTTAACTTTGACGCTACATATGTAAGTATTTGGGTATTTCAACAAGTTTCTGGCAAATATAATTAAACCTAATATATATATATATACACATATATATACATATATATACATATATACACATATATGTGTGTGCATATATATACAAATATAATTAAACCTAATTAGTCCCCAATATTTGAAATAAATGCATAGTTCTTTCATAATATGCATTTTCTATGAAGTTTTAAAGCTGTCTCTTATAATAATAAGATAGCATTTCACTATTTTGTCTCTCTGAAACTAGATGTATTTAAATAAGCAAAAATGTTTTGGAGTATCCTCTCACTGGGAAAATTGAAAATATCATTTATGTTAGGTGATGCAGTATTTATTGAGTGACTACTATATGCCAGGAACTATTGCTAACACTAGCACATGCCAATAGATGAAATAAGAAAGTGCACAGTACTCACATCAACAATCAGGAAGTCTAACCAGCACCAGGCATTGGTAAAATACATTTGAAAACCATATGCAACCCACTTTAGAAGCATTTCTAGGATGAATATATAAGTGAAAACTTTGTCAGCATATTCTAACATGGTCTTAATGGTTTTTCGCTGCTCAATGTATATATCTTCAAAGGCCTGTAAATGAAAAAATGCTATTGAATTTTATTGTCATGAACAGTCTCTAGAATGTCTTCTTAGTAAAGAAAATGATGATCAGGTGACTCAGTCTGGATAGCTTAATGTTTCCCATGACTGCGTGTTGCTTGATAGTGATCTACACACTATCAACTACTGCCTGGGTATTTCTGCCAACCAAGGAATTCTAAATGTTTCTATATTTTGCTATCAACATACCCCAAAAGAATGAGAAAATTCTGAGAGCCTGCCAGCTAGTTTTCCCTAAAGCAGGAGGTGGAAAGTCATCTGAGAGTCAGTGCTTTGTCTAGTGCAGTCACTAGAATGTGCCTCTTCCCAGTACTCAAATATAAAGTCAGGAGGCTCCCAGCTTGAGAAGATGGAAAGGATTCTCATTTCTCACTTTACTCTCTCTCTCTCTCTCTCTCTCTCTCTCTCTCTCTTTCTCTCTCTCTTTGTCTCTCTGCATGTGCGGGTCTAAGTCTGCAAGCTCTCCCTGCTGTCACTGTGCAGAACTCTTGGGAAAAGGTAAGGAACACATTGACAGGAACCTCTAGACCTTTGGGCCTGAAAAGACCATTTATACTTAACTGAATCCTCATAAAAGAAAAATCAGCTGGTAGGACTGGTGGCCAGAATCAAGTACAATGGAAATCATTTTTTTTAAGAGAACAGTGCTATCCAGGCTTGTGACCTGGGCTCAATACAAAGCCTTAGGGGATTTATAGCTGAAGCTAGAAGACTCTCCTCAAGAGCCAGCCACTGTGCAGTCATGTTTGTGTGCTTTTGTGGGCTTTCATCGGATACAATTCAAAACCAGAGCTAGTATAGCAAGGGCATTAGTGACTTATGAGCCGGCAGAGTCCCCTCTCCACTTGGCATTATAATGGCAGGCTAACCCTGCCATTCAGTGTGGTTGGCAATGGCAAATCCGTGTGAACAAGACAAATGAATTTCTTGCAGCAAGGGGCTTACGTTAAGCCATTTGATATTTAACCAATAATCCCACATCATATCTATATGGACATTCTTTAAGAAGTGTCTCTGGTGACTAAAAGTCAGGAAGTTCCTTCTTTAAATATTACAAGAAACCGTGCTGTCCTCATTTGATTGCATCTGAGAACTACTCCAGACAGTAATAAAAGTTGCTATTTACCGAGCCTCTCACACTATGCTAAACGTATCATGCTCATTGTCTCTCATTCTCACAAATACCTTATTTCAAAACAGGTTTTAGTGTAGAAGATGAAAGAGCAGATCATGCATCACCTACCAGAGCCCCACTGCTGAGCAGAATCATGAAGACAATGAAGGTTTCAAACCAATTGTGCTCCACTATCTTGTAGCAAGTTTTTCTCAGGTTCCACCAGAGTTTCCCTTTGCCTTCTTCTATGCTTATCTGACAACACTTGAACTTCCGTACACAGTCTATGATACATGAGAATCAATGAAGAAAAAATAGTTACTCTCATTTTGTGTGTGTATCTATGTATGTTGGTGGGAGATTCAGCTACATTATTACCTTACGACACATTCTGATAGAAATAAAAATCATCTGTATGGATTTAGTAAATATTCATTTTACGTTTATAGAACTATTATAATGGATTCTGTTATATCATCAAAGCCAACAAGGGCTGGGGCTGGGGCACAGCAGGTTAAAGCCCTGGCCTGCAATGCCAGCATCCCATATGGGTGCCAGTTTGTGTTCCAGCTGCTTCACTTCCAATATAGCTCTCTGCTATGGCCTGGAAAAGCAGTAGAAGATGGCCCAAGTCCTTGGGTCCCTGCACCAATGTGGGAGACCCAGAAGAAGTTCCTGGCTCCTGGCTTCGGATCAGCTCAGTTCCAGCAGTTGTGGCCATTTGGGGAGTGAACCAGCGGGTGGGAGACCTCTGTGTTTGGTCTCTACCTCTCTCTGTAACTCTGTCTTTCAAATAAATAAATATTAAAAAAAACTACCCAAAGTTGATATTGTCATCTTGCATTCATCCTGTAATTCCACTACATTTGGACATTATATATATTTATACACATATATATGTATATATATATATTTGAATTCTGATTAGTTCAATTAATGGTATGACATAAATATCTCCTACCTTATTACAGGTAAATAAATTTAGGACATGTTTCATAATATTTCTGTAAATAAGATTACTAAAGTCCATTCCACTACCATTTTGAACATTTAAGTTGTAAATTCTGGTCATTAGCAGTGCCAGTGTAATGGTCACCTTTGTGGAATTCTTGGACTACAAGATAAAAGACTCTTCAAGAAATATTACTGAATACCCAAAGAATTGTGCTGCACAAATAACAAATAAAGTCTATAATGTGCAAAATATGGCCTTGTCCTAAAAGAAAGTACATTTTAATTAGAGATTATTTGTCTAAAAACTTTATAGTAATATGAAAGAAAAATCATCACCACACAAAGTATTATAAAAATGCATTAGTTAAGTTTAATTTTTGAGCATTATAGAAGAGAGTATTTGGTGACTGATATTGAAGGTTGTAGAAAAAGCACATTCTGGAGGCAGACATTTGGCACAGCAATTAAGATTCCATTCAAGACATCGACCCCATATCAGGGTGGCTATGTTCAAGTACTATTTCCATTCCTAATTCCAGCTTCTTGCCAATGTGCAGCCTGGGAGGCAGGAGGTGATAGTTAAAATGCTTGGAACCCTTGGCCCAATCCTTGGGTCCCTGCACCCGCATGGGAGACCAGGAGGAAGCACCTGGCTCCTGGCTTTGGATCGGTGTAGCTCCGGCCGTAGCGGCCATTTTGGGGGTGAACCAACAGAAGGAAGACCTTTCTCTCTGTCTCTCTCTCTCACTGTCTAACTCTGCCTGTCAAAAAAAAAAAATGCTTGGATCCCTGTCACCTGCATGGGGAACTCAGATTGGATACTGGGTTTCTATTTTTGGCCTGGCCCAGCCCTAGCTATTGTAGACATCTGAGTAGTGAATCAGTGGATTGAAGATCCCTCTCTCCCTACTAAATGAAATCTAAATAAATAAATATATAAATTTTAATTTCTTAATTTGTTAAATAATCACATTAAGGACATAAAATGGTAAGAATAGAGAAACAAAACAATATAAATGACAATATACATATATATTGTATATATACATATATATAGTACATATACCATATATACAATATATTATATATACAATATAAACATTAATGATTGAAAAGTCCTCAAGTTGGACAGAAAGAATTAGGAGTAAAGACTAGAAAAATGGCTTACAGCCAAGGGTTTTAGATGGTTTGATACATGACATTATTATCACAATAGATAATTGATCCATACCTCAAATAATACAATCTTATCTTTCTTTAGAAAATCATTTTGCAATTACTCCAGTGACATTTTGCACCATATAAAGCAACCCATAGTATATTTCTGGCATTTTCATTGCTTACTATCTGACCTTGGCTGATAAAAGGAATTGCTACTCAAGGACAGAATTAAATGTGCACTTAGCATTTTTTATAATATGAAAAATAGTAAACACTTTATTATATAAATATTTTCATTTCTTAAACATTAAGAGTGATTTCTATGTTAGACTTTCTTTCCTGTTACATAGATTCTGGAAGACTAGCGAACAGCCTCTTACTCCCATTTCTCAGAGTTGAACAAGATACACAAAAATAATTCCTATTTACATAAATGATGCCTTACCTTTTAAAAAATTTTCCCTAGCTTTTTATAGAAAAAGCAAAAATTAGCAAGTCATGAACAGTGGATAAGTACAGAAGATTATACACGGATCATCGATACACATAGATAGATGTTAGCTTGGTAGAAAACACAGATGGCTAGATAAGAGGAAAATAATGAGCGTATGCACCTTTGCACTGCTTACCTTCTGTAAAACAAGCTTCAGGTTCAAGAGATTCTTCAGGTTCAGCCTCAGGTTGTTCCCCCTCAGCGGGCGCTCCTATGTCAACTGTGCTGCCTTCAGAGGAACTAGTTGCATTTAGCTTCTGAAAATCAATCCCACAGGAAAGCGTTTCAATATCTTCCTTAATCTAAATATAAAAATGTATTAAGGTGTGCCCCCTGTCTTCAGTATGAATTTTCTTGTTCTGTAATTTAAGAATAACTTAAACATAATGCCAGTCTGCTTTGGTAGAGGTGGGGGGTCACAAGATTAGATACAGTACAATAGTATATAGTTTTCCTCTACAATATGATGCTAACAACTGAAATAATTTTTATTTAAGCCCATGTAGAGATTCTAAAATAAGATACCGCAGAACAACTTATGTAAGCTGCCAGAAACATATGATCTGGTGAGGTCTGTGACCTTGCTTTTGTGATTCAGTTTGCAAACAGTATTGTTTGTTTTATTCTAAAATTGTGACCCAACCAACGAAAGCTGCACAAGTGTATTTTCATGTCAAATGCAGAAAAGATTTATTCAAATGCACATAAACAGCAACAATCTAAATTTATCCACTTTTCATTGACATGAAAACATATACCACTGGTTGTTATTAAATATATGCTAGAATTTTCTAATTCCAGAAACAGCAGCACATTGTTAGCTATGTAGCAAGAGCTGATACTTTGCATTCTCTTTGGCCAATGCACTCCTGCGATTTATTGTGCATTTGGAAACTACTTGTTACTCTGGCACTCTTACCTGTCCTGTTAGTAAGACAGAAATGAATCTCTTTTTGTTTTGTTTTCCTTTAGGCCAAAACAAACATGTATTATAAAGAAGTCTTAAGTCTTGAAATCCCATAAAGTTAGCCAGTTCAGGCCATTCTTGGGATCAGCATAAATGGAAGTATCCAAGGTTAAATTTGGTCTTAAAATGGTGCAGCAATGATGTAGGGCCAGGTGTGAGTGCCGCATGGAATCAGAGTAGTTTGGGCCACAGCATTCTCGAACCTGTTACAATGTTATTACCAGTAGTGCATAACATTAGGAAATGGTTGAGCTGACAAGAGCTAGTTTATAACAGGAATGAGGTAAGCACATGGCAAAAATGCACATTGAAGTATGTTAAACTGGAATAAAATGGATGCTGTAACCAGTACTGGAAATATTCTATTCATATTTGGGCTATGGATCATATGAATTTTTCCCTTGGAAGATAGTTTCTTTATTTTATGAAAATAATTTTCTCTATGTAAAATATTTACTTAGCATAGTTGAAACATTTATGAGTAGGTACAGTGTACATGAGATTGAAAAATGCTTTTGTTTCATGTAACCTAGTAATACTAATGATAGAAACATAAACCTTAGATATTTCTACTTTATTAAATTTAGTTTGGGGATTATTTTGTAATTTACCCAAAGGATTAATTCAAATATTATATATTATATTTTTCTTGAAAGTGGCTGATGTTTTTTCTATTCATCATGTTTGTCATAATACTAAAGAAAAACCTTATCTTTGTCATTAAAATTTTAACATATTTTGCTCTAATGTTAAGCATCAAAGTGAGAAGATTTATTATACATATTCCAATATTTAGAATTTTTTACACTTTCCTATCATTTGTCTTTGGGTAAGACTCTTTCTCAGACAATTACATACATGTAAGTGACAAAATGACTGAAATATTCTTTCATTTCAATCCATCTAATTCACATGAAGCTGTTACACATTAGAGACTTGTCAGTATTGATCTTGTCATCTGTAGGTTATTGAAATGTAACACAGGTACACAGAAGCATTAAAGTTTATTTACATATGATTATCTGATAGTGACTAGTGCATGGACTCTTTGCTCAACAACTAACTACTTCTAACACCTCCTATCTGATACTTTCACATGCAAGGGAATACAAACAATATATTCTCTCTTAATTTCAGGTCAACACAAATCCTTGAAGGTCCTGGATTTTGTAAGAAATTCTTAGAATTAGAAATCCTATATCTAAATCAGGCCGTAGATTATTCAGATCAGTCTATGAAATGAAGTGAACTTTAACTCTTAAGTCAGAAAGACTATTTGGAATCATTCTGACAATTTCTCCCTCTTTCTACTTTGTGTACATGGATCTATAGTTCCAGTGGTAAATGGAGCCTCTTTAAGGAGCGTAAGTCTCATCCTTCTGCATGTTCCCCATCTGAATAGGATCTGTATATATATAAAAGCTCTTCAAAGTTTTTATATAAAATGAATACTATGAAGAAAGTATGCATGGATTTCAACTTTTTTGCACAAAAATAAGTGTATATTTTAATTCCATTGTCCTATGAGCATTTTGAAGTACCCTCATATTACTTGAATACTTTTAAATTTCTGGTATGTACAAATACAAAGAACCTAAGCTGTACTGTCAGCCCAACCAGCATCTATTTAGAGAAAAAAAATGCAGGTTTAATCCTCTTATCAAAGATCATAGTGAATCAGTGGTTGGACTCTGGATCTTCTATACCCCATATCTGCTAGAAGTCTCTAGAGAGTTTCTTTGGTTATTCACAAGTTAACTCAAGTTTTATTAATTTATTAATTGGGACTTGATAAGTAGCACAATGCATGTGATATTATTCATTGACATGTTTCATAATCATGAACTTCAGTATTAATTCAAGCTATACTCATGATTCTTATGTGTGTTAATGTGGATGTAAATACATATTGGACTAGTGCATGAACAAAAGTGTAGTTTAAATAATAGTCCTAAGAACTAGGTAAGAAGTTCTGATTTAGGAAATCTTTCTTGATAACATCAACTCAATGATTTTCTTAAAAAACATCTGAGAGGCAAATATCACATTATAAAACATGTCATTAAAACAGTTAGAAGTAAAAAGTAAAAAGACCATAACAAGCTAGTGCAACAAGTCAAGGATATAAAAATCTTTCACTCCTGATAAGGCCATAAATAAATTCAACAATTAGAATGGTCAAATGTATGCCATTATATGGAACTGTTAACAACTTACATACTTAATGAGGAATTTTTTAAGGAAAAGTAACCTGTGAATCCTCCAATATGGGCATTATGAACTACAAAATGCTACATAAGTAGGAGACCAAAATATAAATCCGCTAGAAGTAGACCTAGTGTAATAAATTCTACCTTTCTCTTTGTAACATTTGGATGTTTCTGTTCTCTTTCATTACCTGTACATATTTATCTGGAAACAAATGTATTGAAAATATTAGTTAAATAATTTGGTGGAAATTTCTTTACATTGCAGAACACTAGTTCTGCTGAGATTCTTCTCAGTGTGAGATAATCTCAGTTAAATGAGATAAGGAGGGAAGAATCATATTTTACTTAACAGTCTAATAAGTAAACAAAATGAAATATGCCAATTTGTATTTTTAAATATTATACTTCAAACTTTTACTTTCCACATTATTGATAAATTACCATCAAACATCAATAGTACTTCTTTCATAAAGTAAAGGTAGGTATGCAAAAGTACATATTTGTTAAAAAATCACAAAAGAAAAATGGAGAGAAAACATCCTGTCCTGCTAACTTTTTGTTAGGCACATTTGTTTCTCATTGTGATGTTAAGCCATTTTAAATAAAATGTAATTAGTAAATGTTGTACATAATTTGGAAAAAGACAAATTCTAATCTGATACAATAAAAAATTGGGACTTGAAAAATAGATAACTTCAAGCATACATTACCTCAAGTCTTCCCTGTTTGACTGTGTCAGTCATTTTACATGAAAAATCTTGCACGGGAACAATGGATGCTATGGTATTGCTTGAGTTGTGTGGATTTAAGGCCAAAGTGGCATATTAAGATTAGAAAGAAATTGTTGGTATTACCTTTTTTTAAACAACAAAGATGTCAAAATCACTTTAAGTATCATTCCTATTAAATTATATTAAAAGGAAATTATCTTAATAGCATGTATAATTAATACACTATTACTTTTTAAACACATAAAGATCTCACCTATCTTTGTCAGAATGGCAGAAGGAGCCCTCTGCCATGATGGCCCACTCCTCAGTAGATTACCAGGAGATTACTTGTAGACACATGTGTCTGGCCCGTTTTGTTCTTATGTTTAAGATATTTGGAACCTGTCCCCTCCCCCGTTAATCACTATCGCACAGGAAAACTTTACCACAAGCATCACATATTCCCCAGGATAAAATCTTAGAAGGGCTGCTACTGAACCTATCCCACCATTGCTTACTCAAACCTTCCAACCGTACCTGGGCCCTCCTTCTCCCCTTGTATTGGAATATAGTATATTCTTTTGGAGAGCAGCCATTTCATGATAGAGAACCAGAGACATTCTCAAGGAAATTAGAAATTAGAAATTGTAATAATATGAGAGTTCAGAATAAATGAAGCAGAACTGATTTCTGTTCGGTTTGTATTTCATCTCACTCCAGTCAAATCCTCTGGAAACACTGGTAGATGATATGTGCGATTGTCATGTTTTCTCAAATATCTTTCTATAAATGAACTTGGAAAATAATATGCTCAGAGAAAAAGAAAACTAACTTTCACTCTTTCCAAGAAACTTGGAAAAGAGGATACAATGGTAAGAAACCAAAATTTCATACTTTTTTGATAAGTTAATACACAATTGGAAATCATAGTTCTCTTTTGTCCCTTTTTGTCTCTTTTGTTTATATTTGTGTATCTGTGGTTAAGAGTGAGCAATGACTTATTTTGAATTCCATTTAAGATGACTATTCCTTCAACATATAAAGCATTGTGCTTCATGCATCCGGGTGCCAGTGACTTAATATTTTGTTAAAAAGTATCAAAGAAAGCTCCAGGAATGGCATGAGGATTGTTACTTTCAAAGAGCCAAAAATGCTTATATATGATTTATTTTACAGTTTTATTAGAAGAAGAGAGGGGGGATTTATCTAAATGACAGTGTACTTAATATTTTCTTTAAAAAAAAGATTGAATTGTCCTGAGCAATTTAATTAAGTTATTTGTGCACAAAGCTGTAAGTTTAATACCAGTATATGAATGGAACAGTAACTAGAGTCCATAGAACGGTATTATACTGATTGCTATAAATCATAGGAGAAGGCTGAGCTCTTTGTTTGAAAAACATAAACAGAGCAAGAGCTCACAAATCTATTCTCTTGAAGGCGTGTGAAGGCATGATCTATTTAAATAGTATTCTTTAGGAGAAAGCATTCCAGTAGGTTTGGATGAAATTGAGTGTAAAACCCCATAATGGACAAAGGAGTCAATTAGATGAAAAAGGCAGGCTCCAGATCTACTTGTAGAATTAGCACACCACCTATACGTCTTTTTCCTTCTTCTCTTTTTTTTTTTTTTTTGTGTGTGTGCATAAAAGACAACTATTTCCCCTTTTTCAGCCTAGGAGTTTTAGAATAAATATAAGCTGAATCTCCAAGGGAACCATATTCTAAATAAAAAATGTGTTTGGTCAATTGCTAGACATAGCGATGCCATTTTCTCTAAAATGAAGCAGATAAAAATTATACTCACATTGCTAGCGGCCAAAACACAAACATTTCAGTTCATTTACATTACTATCACATTAAAACATCATTTAGAAGTTTGCACATGAATAAGGGATTGCTTTAATTGGTGGAATTTTCTTCAGAAAATCATAAAATGGCACGAACCACAAAATTACCAATAAGTACACACATTTGTGCTATATTAAAAAAAGTTTTGGGAATGAGAAAACTTTTCTGTGAGAGTTTTTAAAAGAGTACCAATGTTTCTCCTTCAGGCCTTTAGCATTTTCAAAATTCTATAATAATATGTGGAATTAAATAATTCATAAAGGCATGCACTTTTTCTTTTCATTGAATATGACTTCTATTGAAATCTATGTAAGAAAATCAACCACTAAATATTAAAAAAAAAGAAAGAAAGAAACTTAGGTTTTCAAACTTGCCTGACCATGCTTTCTATGACTCAGCATAATAGCAGCTGTGCATGTTTTTATTTTATTGCCAATGGATGGGCAAGGAACATAGCTGAGTAACATGCAGGCCAGTCAAAAGTCATTTAGAAACTGATTATATTGATATAAGCACAACTTGCTTGGGTAACCTGGGTAAAAGTGGTGGCACGAGCCTCTGCCTGGTTAAAAAACACCAGAGCTGCGTTCTTGATGGCTCCAGCTTGGTTTTACCCCTGTGAGAAGTAAGAATGGTAAGCAGTGAAGGTCACCATTATTGCACTATTAAATTTTACTTTGAAAAATAATTATTCAAGCATGGCTTCAACATTAATAAAAACTCTAAAAGTAAAATCAGTCATTTAAAATCACAAAAAGAATTCTATTAAGTGTAGTCACAATAACATAATAAGAGTTATAGCATTATGATTATGGTATGAAACTTAAATGATACACTCTAGGCAATCTACAGAAAGCTACTAAGGAATCACACAACTTGACAGACATAAGAGAAGGCTTAGTTCAAACACCTGGAAATCTCTGAGTCCTTCACTTAGAATGCCCTATAAAAAGACATACACTTGGATATTCCAAAGCTCAGTATCTCATTTTCCTTTAATTGTAAAAATCATTTAGAAAGGACTAGCCCTAAGCCTCTTTCAATTTCCTCCTGATTAATGTGATATGCAACACAACACAGCTTCTAGCACAATCCCATCTCACCACTCAAAAAAAAAGAAAAATCCAGACAAAAATTAACAGAAGGCAGACACTGAAAAAATATTTCAAGGGGAGGGTGTTTGAAATTATTGAATAATTGTTTTGAGTCTCCTTTGTTCTAGTATAAAAATACAAAGTAAAATTCTGCAAGATTAAAACCTAAACATTTTCTTTTAGCCTGAGAACACAATCGTTTCCTTGTTTTTGAATTTATATCTAGAAAGTTTGCTATAACACCATAAAATTAAGCATTTCTGCAAACAACTACTTTAACATTAAGGTAATATATTGATGGTAGGAAGGTTGTAAAACAACTCCATAATTCTAGCAATAAAACAGTTCTGTCCATCCATTCTCTGCCTCCACTTCCAAAACACTGAATTCACAAAAGTTACTTTGGTGCATTCAGAATGAACTCAAACTGAAAATAAAGTAAAAAGCTTAATGATGCCAAGATAAATGAGGAAGAAAATTTGGATTTCATTACTATAAACCCTATATTACTAAAAAAACTTTTATGCCAAACATAATGGTCTAAGGGTAGGCAAAATACATGCCCTTTTGGAGAGCATGAGGTTTTAAAGTTTCTGAAGACTGGATATCAAGAATTCATACCTCAAAATTTACCATTGTAATTCTTAGTTCATGTGACACTCTAAAACTAAACATTCTATATGGGAAATATTCATTATTAGTTTTAATGCCAAAATATGAGACAGCAAGACACATTAAAATTCTCATGGGCCAACTCTATTTTCTGAATGCTGACATCAGCTGTGATAGAGAAAATTAGACCCCACTCTTTCACCATAACCCAACTAACTTCACTCTTTTAAAATTTTTTTACCAAGATTGCCAGATATTATTCCATCTTAAAACATAGTAGTCTAGTTAGTGATAATTTGAGTTCAACTAAATTCAGTAATTCTTTGCTCCAGGCTATATGGTCTACTACTTTGTCCCTGAATGTCATCAATTAGTGTTAAACTAATATCTATTGTTACCTTGTTACCTATTTCTTAATATTTAGTACCTATGTTTAAAACTTTTTTGAATTCCGTGTTTAATATCTACTTCTACCTAATAACTGCACTAGCAAGACTACCTACCTCATAACAAAAAGAAAAGATTACAGCTTACTCTTAAGTAATTTTGTGAAATAAATGAAAGCATACTGTCCAAAATATTTAAAATTCTCTTCTTCAAATTATTTTCTTTAAAATTATAATTTATCTGTAATTATCATGATTACAGATTAAGTATCATGTTATGCTATTTAAATTTTGCACTACAGTGCTTCAAATGCCCCCCATATCATCTATCTTAGAATGAGAACAATGATGAAACCTTCATCCTCCCTGCCAAACAACATTTTTTTTTTCTATTTTTGATTGATTATGCAAGATTACATTATTTGGGATCCTACCTTCATTTTTGTACAGGTAAAAAAACAAACATTAAGATTTTAAATTCAGCCTTCTGTATAATTTTAACTCTGCAATTACTAACCTATAGGTTAATACAAACAAAACAAACCAAAAACATTCTCTGGTGCTCACACTCTTCTTGTAAGCCAAAGGATACTTTACATTACTAAAAAATAGAAAATAAATGTCCACTGAATTGGCAAATCCAGAATTTTGAGTTTTGCAATGCACTAAAGTTTTTTGTTTAAATATCATGCTTGTTAGTTTAAAAATATTTATAGCATGATTCCTCATCATTATCTTCTCCTCCTTAAAAAAAATTGCTTCAGGAAATAGAAAACTATATGCAAATATCAAGCCAAGATTCCAGTCAGGTTTTCTATGAGTAAATATGCCTGTGCAAACTAAGTAAGACAATGTTTTATTAAGTATTTCATAAAAGCCAAGAATGTGACAATATGAGAATTAGAAGTACCCCCATCAAGCATTTTTCTAGCACATAGAAAGACCACTGTATGGTGAGATATAAGGAAAAAGTGCACATACTGAGGCATTTTCACATATCTAAAATCATTTTAGAGCACTTAGGAAATTTCACATTAATCTGCACATTAATATTACCAAAGATTCAAAGTGTTGAATATTTGAAAAAATAAGATAGTATATCACTTGTCCAATTATATCCTAATCTTTCACTAATTTATTTATTACCAATTTTGCCATAAAAAATGTACCAACACATATTTCCTATTTTTTTCCAAGAAGAAATCATGCAACTTAATTAATGATTTTAAAGCAATAGAAGTATAGAATACCAAAATATCCCCCTCTTTAAAATTCCTACCTCTTTGCTTTCTTCCATATCTGACTCGCTGCTGAACTCTTCAGTATTTAAGTTTTCAAAGTCAGATTCTCCAACAGCAATTGGGACAGTCACAGTGAGGCTGGGGTTGTTTATAAATGACATGTAATCACTTTCATCCACAACATACTTTTCAACACTACTGCCTATACCACTGGTAGTTCCATTCCCATCTTTGAGATAGTTGAGGTCTTTGCCTATTTCTATGGTGGTATGGTTGGAAATACAGCTGTCTTTTTTGTTATTTAGATCTTCAAGGGGTTTAATTTCATCTAGAGCCTTCTGCTTTCTAACAAAGGCTTTCTGAATAAATTCACGTATTTTTCTCTTAACAAAATCGATTCCTTTCTGCATCCTTCCCACAGCAATCTGGAGATTGTTCATTTCATTATCATCGTCAGTGGCAGCAAGATTGTCAGAACTGAAAGAACTCAAGAGCAAGGCCAGGAAGAGGTTCAGAACCTAAAAGACAGAAGGGAATAAGTGATCACAACCTTCTGTTGTTCCAATTGCTTTTAACTATCAATTTTCCCAAATTGCTCCTACACCTTATTTTATGCTAGATATGTCTTCTAGTTCCATGAGAAAGTGTTCTGAAAAAAAAATTAACAAAATTAAAAATACCTGATCAATATCAAATAAAATTATTTGTGCTACTTATTTTCTAGTCATTTCAAATTCCCTAAAGCCATCATTGTATGGAATGTCTTTATGTCTCAATTGCAAAGTGAAATGTTGACAACTGCAGAGTGAAAAAGAAAAACAATTTCTTTGACGTATTAAGTATTTTGTCCATGTGAACTGTAATTCCTAGGATACTGATAATTCACCACAATTTATCCCTAAAGCCAAAGATGATAATATATTAATACACTTTTATTTTTATTTATTTGAATCATTTTTTTATCCAGATAATATGCAAAATTAGAGAAAAAATATATATTGCTACATCAAAAGCCCCAATTTTTGAATCAGAAAGATCACAGCTGCAATATTTGCACAATGGTTGCAAATACTATAAAGAAATAATTATGTAATAGAAATGATATCAATACTTAAATAATTAAAGATTGTGGAGTTGAACCATTGCATGAATAAGACCACTAATTAGTCTGTAAATTGGGCTTTCAAAAATAAGCTTACTGGTATGAGTGAAAAGATTAGTGAGGAGGGACTCATTGTGTAAATTCAGAAGGAGGTAATTTCCTAAGAAATCAGTCATTCCCAGGGGCCAAAGACTGAGTCACGCATTCTTTATTCTGACTTGACAGACAGTGTCCCTGAGTTCCTGGTTATTGAAGCAGACAGAACAAAAGAAGGATATTAACAGGAAAGGGGAAAACTGCAAATAAACATTACCCTAGTACAAAAGAATCCTGGGAAAGGTTTTAAGTAAAACTCCGATGGAAACGATGCTACGTTCTTGCTGCATTGCTGTTTCTATCAAGCTAGTAAAGCTTAGAGTTCCTTTGTGGAACACTAATAAACCGTGGTTTTCAAAAATATAAAACTGATGGCAGGGACCTGGTGGAGTGATTTAGATGATGTCTGAAATGCCTGCGTTCCATATCAGAGTCCCTGAACTGTCCTGGCTGTGCCTCAGAGTCCAGCTTCCTGCTCAGGTAACTGGGGCACTGTCACCCACATCACAGATGGAGACTGAGGTCCAGACTCCTGGCTTTAGCCCGGCCCAGTCCCAGTGGTTGTGGGCATTTAAGGAGTGAACCAGTAGCTGGAAGATCGCTCCATCTATCTCTGTCTCCTTACTTTTCAAATAAATAAAAGTAAATCAATTAATATTCACAGAAGATAAAAGTGTGTAAAATCCAATAAGGACTGCATGTACTTTTGAGAGTCTATAGTGACCCATCCTAGAGCCCCTATGCCGTGACAGCTGATGCCGGAGGCTCATTCACTTCTGGAATTTATTATTTACATGGTAAAATTGCGGTTTATTATGATTTGCCTTTAAAATTCTTATATAGATGAAAATAGATAAAAGAAGGAAATCTAATATTGTTTTTATCTATAATAAAACTAACATTTTCTAGATTTATTTTGCTAAAGCTTATTATGGTACTATCATTGCCTATAAGATGAATTTTTTTGATGTACATCAGTCAGAACTCCTAGCATGAGATCTGGTCTATACCACTTTAATGCAACTACTTTACGTGTACGTGTCATTTGCTGTTATATCTGTATGGCCTTCTCCCCTTTCTCGTCTTGTCCTTGGAAATTTCTCACATATCTATCACTTTGGATTAGATTCTTTTGTAAACAAGTACAGTGTTGCTGACAGACTGGGAGTTCTTTTAGATCAAAAACATGCTTTAAAGAGCCATGTCATTTAAAGAGCCAGCAGCATTGACACTAGATAATAACATAAGTAGCTTTTTATTGAACTCTTCATAAGTGTCTGACTTACGGCAAGTGTTTTACAAGGTTCATATGACTTACAACAGTTCCATGAAGCAGTAGTTACTATGGCTGTTTTATAGATGAGAAAATGGACTTCTGTAAAGCTTAACTTGTTCAGATCACACTGCTAGTGTCCTTGGAAAACAGCAGAAGATGGCACACATGCTTGGTTCTCTGTTACTATTGTAGGAGACCAGAATGGAGTTCCTAGCTTCTGGCATCAGCTGGGCCCAGAACTGGCTGTTGTTGCCATTTAGGGAGTGACTAAATCAGTGGATAGAAAATCTCTCTCTCTCTCTTTTTCTCTCTCTCTGTCACTTTGCCCTCCAAATAAATAAACAAAAATTTTCTAAAAATACCTGCTACTGGCTAGAGACTACTTTCTATCTGCCCATTTCTCTTATTTCTACACATTTTTTGAAAAACAGAGAGACATATCTTTTAAAGTTAATGTGCAGGGCAAGAACGAAATTTCTGTCACTTACTAACCCCATGACTCTAGATAAGCAACACAACCAATCTGAGCCTCAGTTTCTTCATCTGTAAAATAAATACGGTGATTTCCCCCATGTTCAGCTTTGTAAGGATTCAGTGAAAGAATCCACGTGGCTCTCAGCACAGCTCCTGGAATATGGTGACCCATTGAGCTAACCATAGCTGTTATTATCCATGTTTCTGTCCAACCTGCCTTCTGCACCACTATCTTTCCATTGATCTGATTTTCCTAGACATATTTGGGTAGACTAAGCTAATCTTTGTTTAGATTTCTTTTGCTGCCAAAGGGTATCTCCATCAGACATTGGTGGGATCAATGTCAATTTAAGAGATCCACATTCAGGGCCGGTGTTTGGCCTAGCAGTTAGATGTTGATTAGGATATCCATTTGTGCTCCCTATCAGAGAAACTTGGTTCAATACCTGCTTCTGGCCTCTAACTCTAGCTTCCTTCTACAGCATGCCTTGGATGGCAGAGGTGATGGATCAAGTAATTAAGTGGGTTCCTGCCACTCATGTGGGAGATCTGAATTGAGTTTCTAGACTAGAGATTCAGCCAGGCCCAGTTTTAGCCCCTACAGGTATTTGGCAGGCAAATAAGTGAATGGGAGTACATTTCTTTCTCTCTCTTTCTTTCTCTCTGATATATATACCTAATAGCTCCTGAAAGTCTCTTTAAATTTGAACTTTGTGTACTATTATATATCAGAGAGATGCATTTTATTTCACTAAACTAACAGATGATATTGGATAAGCTGAGATTGTTCCTCTTTAAATCGCTCCACATTCTCCTGCTACATAAATTGTACCAATATATCACTTGCTTATTATCAAGTCTTGATCAAAATCCATCTGTAGCGTTGAATTGCCTAGGGAAAAGTTTGCTTAATTATGCACAGTCAGCCTTTTCATAAATTACTCTCTTCACAATCTGGCCCCAAACTTAATATGTTACTACTCCCACAGAACACCCTATTGCAATCTGATCATTCACGGATGTAAAGGATACTGTTCTCTGCCTTTTCTTCTCTTCTTCAAATATGTTTCAAATACATATAATATAGGAAGCCAAATCTATAATACAAGCTTATGATTTTCTTTGCTTCTGTTCTATGCAATCTTGTACTTTTCTGAAAGCAACTATTTTAAAGTTGCATTGAGGGTTGTGTTGGCTTTAAAGATATCTATAAATGCAGCAATGAATGGACATGGATTTTCAACATATATCAATCAGTAGGATTGCTGGATCATATGGCAATTTTATTTCTAGATTTTTTTAAAAGTTTTATTCACTAGAGAGAGGAGAGAAAGCGAAATTTTCAATTTTCTGATTCACTCCCCAAATCTGCTGGTCACAACATCTGGGGTTGGGCTAGCCCCAAGCAAGGAGCCCAGAACTCTATCTGGGTCTCTTATGCGGCTGGCAGGAATCCAAGTAGTTGGACCATCATCTACTGCCTTACCAGTTATTTTGGCAGGGAGCTGGATTGGAAGCAGAATAGCTGGGGCTTGAACCAAGGTGGGATATGGGCATCCCAAGCTGTAGTTCAACTCACTGTGCCACAATAGTGGCCAGTATTTTTAGTTTTTTTTTTTTTTTCTATAGTGGCTGAATTAATTTATATTGGAGCATTATTCACAACAGCAAAAGATATGGAGTCAACCAAGGTTGCACAATAAAATGAACAGATAAAGAAAGTGTGACATATATATAAATAATATTTAGCCATAAAATGATGAAATCTGGTCATTTGTATCAAAATAGGATAGAACTGGAAGACATTGTTTTAAATTAAATAAGACAGATACAGAAAGGAATACCACATGTTCTGCCTCTTATGTGGAGGCTAAAAAATCTCAATCTGAAGAAAGAGCTGTGATTACTAGAGGCTGGGAGGGAAAGGGGAGGGAGAGGGAATCTGATATGGATACCAAATCAGAATTATATGGAAGGAATTATATGGAAGGGTTACACAGCATAATAGGTGACTATGGTTCATAATAATCTATTATATGTTCTATGCAGAAATAGAAGAAAGCACTCCAGTCATAAACTACTGTCAAAGAAGGGGAAATGCTGATCCCCTTGATTTCATCAGAATGCATTATATACATATATTAAAATGTTGCACTGTAGCCCATAAATACATACAATTATTGTTAATAAAATATTGTACACATATGCACACCCACGCAAAAGTTATTTGATACAGGGCCACATTTCTTCTTACGTGATTTCTTAGACGCTAATGAATACAATATGGCAGAAGCAATGGAGTGTGACTTTCAAGACAGGAATGAGAGGAGGAACTTCTTCTCCCCTTCTGTCTTACATCAGTTGTTCTGCAAGAACAGTCACTGCATCATGAGGATGTTCAACAGTCCCGTGGGAAGTCCCCTATAGAGAAGAGCTGATGCCTTCAACTAACAGTCAACAGTGAACTGAGAACTCTTGCCAACAGTCATGAACCTCCTTCCTCTAGCCTCGGTCAAGGTAACTGTAGCCCTAGCCAACATCTTGACAGTGACTTCATTAGGGAACCTGCACCAAAACCAACTGCTTCGCTGCTACCAAACTCCTGACCCACAGAACTATGGGACAATCAGTGTGTGCTTAAGTCACCGATATATTTCTGGTTATACACCGTTCATACTTCTTGTTACTTCAATTATCTAAGCTAATGTTGAGGAGGCTGAAACCCAGAATTGAATAGGAAGAATTCTTTCTCTATTTCTTCCTTGGAGTAATTGGAGGTTACTTTATTGTGTGTGTTTGGGGGGGGGGTGGAATTAACTATATAAATTAAAGTAATATATACTTTAAAATATTCGTTATTTTTCTATCTCAGTGACTTGAACACGAATCAATCTACTTAGTTTAATTACTTTATAATTAAAGTACAGAAGCCTGATTCTTTTCACTAAGTCTGCTGTCCTGTTTCCGTGCTGCTGGATCCGTTGTTCCCTGATTGGAGAGGGTCTACCTTTCTTCCTATCAAACTGAAGCTTACCTGTCATTAAAGATATTACAGGTACAAGCATTTCAGCCATGATTTTCTAAATCAACTTTGCTATGATAAACCAATGTTTCCATTTTGTAAACTTGACATGCAGAATTTTGTTTTCACACTTTTTGACATGGGTTAGATGCTTCCAATTTTCACTCCTGTTTGAATATGTCTCCCATCACTCTGTCATATTCATCTTCCCATTGTCATTTCCTGTAAGACTCAGTGCACTGATGCCGGGCATGGCTAATTTTACACAGAAATAGCTATGTTTCTTTAATCATTGTTCCTAGCCCATACAACAGATTGTAGGCACCAAATACTCCATTGCTTTTAACTGAGAAAATTATATTTTTACTTAAATATGTAACAAATGCAAATTTGAAATATTTTCAACGATACTACTGCTAGTATTCACAAAATTTTATCTATTCTTAGTTACACATCCATACTTTAGTCCAAGAAATAAAAGATACAATCTAGAAATTTTACTTTCCATGGACTAATAAATTATATGTTGAGAAAATACAATTTGGATTCAGAAGATATTTTAAGGGTTTGCCTTGATTAAAAATCTAAACCATTCCTGCCTCTGACAGCGTGAATAATGAAGAATTAGAAATACTCTGGAAAGAAAACCACAGAAAATTTACACAACGTTCTTCAGTTAAATATCCTTTGTCATGGTTACATTATCTATTACTGAAAATGAGGGAAATATTTTTACTACATACCACTAGGTTTCCAATCACCATGACCATCATGAAGACAGTAAGGCACATGGTTTGACCAGCGACCTCCATACAGTCCCACATGGTCTCTATCCACTCTCCACACAGCACACGGAACACGATCAAGAAAGAGTGGAAGAAGTCATGCATGTGCCAGCGTGGAAGTTCACAATCATTGGAAATCTTGCAGACACATTCTTTGTAGCTCTTACCAAAGAGCTGCATGCCAACCACAGCAAAAATGAAGACAATGATGGCCAACACCAAGGTGAGGTTACCCAGTGCCCCCACGGAATTGCCAATGATTTTAATTAGCATGTTTAGTGTGGGCCAGGACTTTGCCAACTTGAAAACTCGGAGCTGGAAACAAAAGCAAGAAGAACATTAGTTTTTTGCATTTCAAAAGATTCATAATTTTATTTACAGGAATAATTTATAGTATAATAGTCTCAGGTGTAAAATTAGGGGTTTATTTACATGTCAAACAATTATGTAGCAAATGTAACAGTTATCTGATATTATAGGGCATTTTTAATCCATAAATGATTCATGCTGTAAATAAAATAATTTTACAGTTTTTAAATTGGCATGTTAACAAGAAACACCAAAATTTCCAGAACACTACACAAGCATATTTCCTGTCCCCTTTTCAAAAGAACCTAAAATACTTGAGATTAATGGTAGTTAATCAGAAGATATTATATTTCACAGAAATTGGGATTCACATTTATTTAATGCATTGTTTAAAATTTTATTGATGGGGCTGGCATTGTTACATAGTGGGTGAAGCCACCACCTGCAATATCACCATTCCATATGGGCAATGGTTCTAGGCTAGCTGTTCCACTTCCAATCCAACTCCCTGCTAATAGCCTGAAAACAGCAATTGAAGATGACTGAAGCTGTTTGGAGCCCTGTCAACCACATGGGAAACCCAGATGAAGCTCCTGGCTCCTGGATTCAGCCTGGCCTACCCCTGCCATTGTGGCCATCTGGGGAGTGAACCAGTGGAGAGATGATCTTTCTCTCTCTGTGTCTCTCCCTCTCTCTCTGTAACTCTTTTAAAATAAATAAATACACCTGTAATAAATCAATGAATAAAACTGTCATTTACTTATCTGAGAGACAGGGAGAATTATTATCACTAGATCACCTCTCAAATACCCTCAATGGGCTGGCCTGGCCTGTGTTAGGTCAAGTCCAGAAGACAGAATGCAATCCAGGTCTCTCACACATGTGACAGGAACACAATCACTCAGACTATCACCGCTTCCTCCCAGGGTCTGCCTAAATGCTCTCATTATTTAAAATCTAAAATTAGATATTTTTTTCAGTGTTCCAGAAATATCATACTGAAGTGCACACGTACATATAATACTAACATTTAAATTAGAAGAAAAAATAAACTAATTTCCTCCAGTCTTTAAATTGCTTTAATCTAACTGTATCTTTAGGTTGCTGTAACATCAGACTATTTTTTAAAGATTTATTATATTTGAAGAAGAAGTATTTTGACTTAAGTAAAAAGTTGCACTTTTTCAACATTATGTCTTCAGTGACTTAATTAGTCCACTCAGTGTAGTGTGTAAGTAGACTTCTGCCACTGTGCTTGACACGTTGGTTGTATGAACTCAGAGAGGCCTTGTAAGTACCATTTGCAGTTAAACAACAGCAGTGTTTTATTTCTGAGTATCAGTAAATGTCAAGCTGAGAGTAGCACATTGTTTAATGGTCTCTAAGTCACCCAAAGTAGCAAATATTAGAAGCAATATGCCTAATGTATTCTAGAGAATAATTTATGCAAAAGAACTGAAACATTAAGCAAAAAAACTAATGATATGCTTTCTATTTCCCAAAACTACAAAACATTATCATGAAGATTTACTAAATATTTCTTAAAAATAGTTGCTTATGGCCGGCGCCGCAGCTCACTAGGCTAATCCTCCGCCTAGCGGCGCCGGCACACCGGGTTCTAGTCCCGGTCGGGGCGCCGGATTCTGTCCCGGTTGCCCCTCTTCCAGGCCAGCCCTCTGCTGTGGCCAGGGAGTGCAGTGGAGGATGGCCCAGGTGCTTGGGCCCTGCACCCGCATGGGAGACCAGGAGAAGCACCTGGCTCCTGGCTTCAGATCAGCATGATGAGCCGGCCGCAGCGCGCCGGCTGCGGCGGCCATTGGAGGGTGAACCAACGGCAAAGGAAGACCTTTCTCTCTGTCTCTCTCTCTCACTGTCCACTCTGCCTGTCAAAAAAATAAAAAATAAAAAAATAAAAAAAAAAAATAGTTGCTTATATTTATCATATAATCAGTTTTATTTTTTTTTGCATTTCTTGCATCCTTATAGCTTCATGTTAGGTTCATAGTTATCCTTGAGGATGAGGTAAGGGAAGGATAGTTGGATTGTAACTCAAATTTGAAATTTGAAAGTTGTAAGAGAAATTTTATGAACAGATTTAACAACCAAGTCTGGAGATATATCAGCATTGAAATTTATCACCTACAGGAATTTGTGTTTAGTAATCATAAGCAATCTCTCTGAAAATAAATCACAAAAGCTTAGAGCCAAATCAAGGAAACTGTACAATAAAAGATATCAAGTTTCAATGGATATGTGTGAAATTAAATTTTACTTCTTAATTTTAAAATATCATAAAATTTATGAAATACAAAGATCAAATGAAATATGCTTTCTTTAACATTAACAGAATGTATTGCAGGCAGCTCTACACAGGGAGTAGATTTGGTAACTTTCTGATTTGACTGAAGGAGCAGATGTGTGGGGAGCTCTTTCTGTTTATCCTCCCCTCAGCTGCGCCCTATTCTAAGCCATGGCTTCTATGGGGACAAAATGGGCAAGGAACAACTCCATAATTCCTGAGCCCCTGACAGTAAATGGATTCCATCTTCCCTCCTGACAATGCCTCCTACTGTATAGTTAACACAAGCCTTAGATAACTGACAAGTGCCTATGGTATTCTTAATTGTGATTTGAGTTTTATTTGTGACTTCCCTATTCTTCCTCGCCATTGTACCTGTCATTCAATTACTCAGGAGAGAAATATTGACTATTATTTGACTAAGTTTAATATATTCATGAAAACTATGGTGTAGGTAAGAGTTTTGTCCTAGCACTTAAGTCACCAGTTAGGACACCTGTGTCCCCTATCGTGTACCTGGAGTTGAGTCCAAGCTTTGCCCCAAATTCTAGTTTCCTACAAATGTGCACCCTAGCAAACAGCAAATGATGGCTCAAGTGGTTGGGTCTCTGCAATCCATGTGTTTGACTTAGATTGAATTTGTGGCTCTTGGCTTTAGATTCCAATCCTAGAAGTTTCAGGAATTGGGGCAGTGAATCAGTAGAGGGATCTCTCTCTCTCTCTCTCTCTCTCACCCTCACCCTCTCTCTCTTTCTCTCTCTTGCTCTCTTCTCTGTCTCTCTGACTTTCAAAAATAGAAAGGCACAATGAAGATGCAGCTATTATCTCATGAAGCAATTGGTTTGTTTTACAAATGGATTCAAATAATATTATAATTATGTGAAATCTTATAATTGTTATAAAATAAGAATGAAAACTATAAAATTATTCATGAGAATAAATATTACAGACACTTCCAGTTAATTTACCAGCCGAAATGATCGAAGAACTGACAATCCTTCAACATTGGCTAAACCAAGTTCCATTAAACTAAGGCTCACAATAAAACCATCAAAAATATTCCAGCCTTCTTGAAAGTAGTAATATGGATCCATGGCAATAATCTTGAGAAACATTTCTGCTGTGAAGATTCCAGTGAAGACCTAAATGAGAAACGTATTTTATACATGAGTGAATGATCTTGAAAGGTAAATTATTATTGAGTAATTTAATATACTCCCAATAAATCAAAATTAAATTTTGTATTTTAAAAATTGGTTTGAAGTCAATGAATTGGTACCCTCAAGTGCTTTGTATTCAACTCAAAATTTAATATTTGAGTATATTTAAGTTTCATCGAGTTATGAAAAATACATGGATCAATAGAATAGAATTTAACAGCTGTATTTGCTAATGAAAGATGCATCTGACTTCTTATGAACACTGCCTGGGGCTCTGCGTCTTATCTCTCTAGCCCTTATGAGCACTCATGTGAAACTACGTCTTTAATCCTCTTGGGTATATAACCCAAACTAGAACTGCTGAGTCATGTGATAATTATACCGCTAACATTTTTTATTTTTATTTTTTTTGACAGGCAGAGTGGACAGTGAGAGAGAGAGAGAAAAAAAAAGAGAGAGAGAGAAAGAAAGGTCCTCCTTTTTCCATTGGTGCACCCTCCAATGGCAGCAGGAGAGCTGCAGCTGGCGCACCACACTGATTTGAAGCCAGGAGCCAGGTGCTTCCTCCTGGTCTCCCATGCAGGTGCAGGGTCTAAGCACTTGGGCCATCCTCCACTGCACTCCCGGGCCACAGCAGAGAGCTGGACTGGAAGAGGAGCAACCGGGACAGAATCTGGCGCCCTGACCGGGACTAGAACCCGGTGTGCAGGCGCGCAGGCGGAGGATTAGCCTATTGAGCCATGGTGCCGGCATACCGCTAACATTTTGAGGATCAGTTAATTATTTTGCAAGGTGATGTTTATGCATAGACATTTCAATTTCTCTACAAACTTGCCAAAAAATTGTTCTTATCTTTCTTTCTGATTCTAACCATGCTTGTGAAGGTAAAGTGGTATCACATTTGGTTTTGATTCCCTTTTTCTAAGGACTAATGCTTGATCATCTTTTATGTGCTCATTGGCAAGGGCATAGCTTCTTTGTCAAAATATCTATTAAAATCCTTTTGCAACTTTTAAATTGAATTATCTACCTCTTTGTTGGTGATCTTTCAGGCTATTTAGTTAGATAATAGTCACCATCAGGTATGTGATTTGAAATTACCTTCTTTTTTTTAACTTTTATTTAATGAATATAAATTTCCAAAGTACAGCTTATAGATTACAATGGCTTCCCCCCCATAATGTCCCTCTCACCCGCAACCCTCCCCTTTCCCACTCCCTCTCCCCTTCCATTCACATCAAGATTCATTTTAAATTCTCTTTATATACAGAAGATCAGTTTAGCATACATTAAGTAAAGATTTCAACAGTTTGCTCCCACACAGAAACATAAAGTGAAAAATACTGTTTGAGTACTAGTTATAGCATTAAATCACAATGTACCGCACATTAAGGACAGAGATCCTACATGAGGAGTAAGTGCACAGTGACTCCTGTTGTTGATTTAACAAATTGACACTCTTGTTTATGGCATCAGTAATCACCCTAGGCTCTTGTCATGAGCTGCCAAGGCTATGGAAGCCCCCTGAGTTCACCCACTCTGATCATATTTAGACAAGGCCATGGTCAAAGTGGAAGTTCTCTCCTCCCTTCAGAGAAAGGTACCTCCTTCTTTGATGACCTGTTCTTTCCACTGGGATCTCACTCGCGGAGATCTTTTATTTAGTCTTTTTTTTTTTTTTCCCCCAGAGTGTCTTGGCTTTCCATGCCTGAAATACTCTCATGGGTTTTTCAGCTGGATCCACATGCCTTAAGGGCTGATTCTGAGGCCAGAGTGCTGTTTAGGACATCTGCCATTCTATGGGTCTGCTGTGTATCTCACTTCCCATGTTGGATCATTCTCTCCCTTTTTGATTCTATCAGCTAGTATTTGCAGACACTATTCTTGTTTATGTGATCCCTTTGGTTCTCAGTCCTATCATTATGATCAATTGTGAACAGAAATTGATCACTGGGACTAGTGAGATGTCATTGGTACATGCCACTTTGATGGGATTTTATTGGAATCCCCTGGTATGTTTCTAACTCTACCGTTTTTGTTTTTTTGTTTGTGTTTTGTTGTTGTTGTTGTTGTTGTTGTTTTGACAGGCAGAGTGGACAGTGAGAGAGAGAGAGAGACAGAGAGAAAGGTCTTCCTTTGCCATTGGTTCACCCTCCAAAAGCCGCCGCAGCCGGCGAGCTGCAGCCGACGCACCGCGCTGATCCGAAGGCAGGAGCCAGGTGCTTCTCCTGGTCTCCCCATGGGGGGTGGCAAGCCGCCCAAGGACTTGGGCCATCCTCCACTGCACTCCCGGGCCACAGCAGAGAGCTGGCCTGGAAGAGGGGCAACCGGGACAGAATCCGGCACCCCGACCGGGACTAGAACATGGTGTGCCAACGCCACAGGGTGGAGGATTAACCTAGTGAGCCGGGGCGCCAGCCTGAAATTACCTTCTTCTACTCTACAATTGCCTTTTCACTTTCTTGATAATATCATTTACAGCACAAATGTTTTAATTTTGAGGAAGTTTCAACTTATTTACCTTTCTTATGTTGCTTGTTCTTTTGGTCTCATATTTAAGAAATCGCTGCTTAACTCTAGGACATGAGTATTTGTTTCTCAATTTACTTCTAATAGCTTGTACTCTTAACTCTTACATTTAGTCTACGGTCTATTTTGATTTAATTTTTGTGTATTTTTTAGATAAGAGTTCAATTCTATTCTTTGTATGTGCATACCTACTTACCCTAATACCATTTGTGGAAAATGCTCCTTTCCTCAGTTGTCTTGACAGTTTTGTTGAGAATCAGTTGAACATAAATGTGTTTACCATGGCATGGTCAATTTTGTTTCATTGATTTATGTGTTAATCCTTTTGCCACTAACAAACTGTCTTACTCTCATTTTGTACAAAGTGTTTACATTTGGAAATGTGAGTTTTCTGACATTCTTAGAGAAACAATTAAAATCATTTTAGCACATGGTCACTTGTATTTCTATATGAAATTTAAAATTTTCTTACCAATTTATGCAGAATAGGCCACTGATTTTAAAAAGAACTGCATTAAATATGTAGATCAGTTTGGTGAGTATTATCAATAATGTTGTCTTCCAATACATGAACAATCAATGTTCTCTATTTATTTAATACTTTCCTAATTTCTTTCCACTATGTTTTGTACTTCCTTGTACTTACCTTACTTTTAAAAACTTATTTGTTTCTTATTCTTTTGATGCTGTTATAAATATAATTTTTCCAATTTAATTTTTTGTCATTAATAGTGTACAAGAATTATAATTCATTTGTATATATTTATCTTGTACTTTTCAACATTGGTGGGCTTCTTCACAAGTTCTAATAGTTGCATGTGTGTTTGTGTGTGTGTGTGTGCATGTGTCTGTATTCCATAGCATTTTTTTCTTTTTTTTTCTAAATATTTATTTATTTAGTTGAAAGGCAGAGTTACAGAGAGGCAGAAGTGCAGGGAGAGAGAGAGAGAGAGAGAGAGAGACAGAGGTTTTCCATCTGCTGGTTCACTCCCCAGATGGCCGCAACGGCCAGAGCTGCACCCGTCCAAAGCCAGGAGCCAGAGCTTCTTCTGGGTCTCCCAAGTGGGTGCAGGGGCTCAAGGACTTGGATCATCTTCTACTGCTTTACCAGGCCATAGCAGAGAGCTGGAGCAGAAGTGGAGCCGCCCGGACATGAACTGGCGCCCCTAAGGGATGCTGGCACTGCAGGTGGCGCCACAGCGCTGCCCATAGGATTTTCTAAATATGGAGTCACGTCATCTGTGGATAGGGTTTTACTTCTTTCCATTCTGGATGTCACTTAGTCCTTTTTTACTGCCTTGCTTAGAACTTTCATTACAATATTGAAGAGAAGTGGCAAGAATATCCATCCTTGTCTTGTGCTTTTCTTAGAATGTAAACATCTAATTTCATTAAATGTGTGATGCGGGGGGTCCAGAGTTGTGGCATAGTGGGTAAAGCTGCTGCCTGTGATGCTGGCATCCAAACGGGCTCCAGTTTCTGTCACGTTTGTTCTACTTCCCATCCAGCTCCCTGTGAATGGCCTGGGAAAACAGCAGTAGATAACCCAGGTGGTTGGGACCTACCAACAACATGGGAGACCCATGGAAGCTATGGGCTTTGGCCTGGCTCAGACCTGGTCATTGCAGCAACTTGGGAGTGAACCATCAGACAGAAAACCTTTTTCTTCTTCTCTAGATGTAACTCTGATTTCCAATAAAAAATAAATCTTTTTTTTAAAGTGTGTTGATATGAGTGTGGATGTTCTAGATAACTTTTGTCAGGCTGATAAAAACTGCTCTCAATTTAAAGTTTGATATGTGTCTTTCTCATAGAAATCCATTTTTTTTCCCAAATGTGATCTGCTTCTACTAAGATTATTGTATCTTTTTATTAACATGATATACTGCATTAGTTAATATCTTATGCTATTTCAATTTTGCACTACTAGGATAAATTCCATTTATTTAAGGGCATATAATCCAAGAACACAAATATGTTGTATGATTTGGTTTAATAGTAATTTGTTGAGAATTTTTGAAGTCTGTTCATTTGATTGTTTATAATTTTCTTTCCTTATAATGGCTGTGTTTGATTTTGCTATCAGAGTAATTATAGCCTAATTAAATGAATCAGTAAGTATCTCCTGTTCATATTTTGGAACATTTCGTTAGGAATTGATGTTATCTCTTCACTAAACATTTGGTAAAATTTACCAGTGAAACTACATGGGCTTAGCTTTTTTTTTTTTTTTTTTTTTTTTTTTTTTATGGGAAACATTTTTACTACTGAATGAGCAGTTTTTTTTGTTACAGGTCAATTCAGGTTTTCCATTTCTACTTAAGTAAATTTCAGTAGTTTGTTACTTTGTTACTTTTTAAGAGTTTTTCCATTTCACTTTTTTTTCCTATTTTACCTAGCTAACTTGTTGGTATACATTTATTATTAGCATGCTCTATGCCCCATTTTTACTTCTGTGAAGTCTATGGTGACAGCATCTCTTCATTCCAGATATTCAGATCTTCTCTCTTTTTTTTTTTTCTTAGTATAGCTAAATGTCAATTTGGTAGGCCATTTCAAAGGACAAATTATTGAGTTTATTGATTTCTTTATAATTTTTTCTATTCTGTGTTATTTCTTTCCATCTTAAATTTGGGTTTGGTTTGCTCTTTTTGTCCTACTGTCTTAAGAGAACACTGGATTATCCAGTTGAAAAATCATTTTTTGACGATTTTTTTTCATTTTAAATTATCTTTATATACAACTTAGTATATACTAAGTAAAGATTTCAACAGTTTGCACCCACACAGAAACACAATGTATAAAGTACTGTTTGAGTACTAGTTTTACTGTTAATTCACATAGTACAAAACATTAAGGACAGAGATCCTACATGGGGAGTAAGTGCACAGTGACTCCTGTTGTTGATTTAACAATTGACACTCTTATTTATGACGTCAGTAATCCCCCGAGGCTCTTGTCATGAGCTGCCAAGGCTATGGAAGCCTCTTGAGTTCGCCAACTCTGATCTTATTTAGGCAAGGCCATAGTCACAGTGGAAGTTCTCTCCTCCCTTCAGAGAAAGGTACCTCCTTCTTTGATGGCCCGTTCTTTCCACTGGGATATCACTCACAGAGATCTTTAATTTACAATGACAGATATTTACAGTTTAATTTTTTCCATAAATACTGTCCCCATAGTTTTGATGTGTTTTCATCTTCATTGATCTTAAAATAATTTCTAATTTCTGTTATGATTTTTACTTTAATCAATAAGTTTTTTGAGAGACGTGTTAAGTTCCACATATCTGTGAATTTTCCACATTTATTTATGCTATTGATACTAATTTCATTTCATTTTTGTCAGAAAAACATTTTGTATTATTTTAGTCATTTTAAATTTGTTGAGGTTTCTTTTGTGAACTTCCATACACACTTATCCTGGGAAATTTTCTGTATGTTTTTAAAGAGATCATGTACTCTTCATTTATCTCTTTGGCTACTCCATGATTTACTTTAAATGCAAATCTTAGCTTTCTTGACACAAAATACAAATCTCACTTTGAATTGTCCATATATTGTTTTTATCTTTCTATAATCTAGTCTCTTTTCTCCTGGTAATGACATTCTATATTTTTTTATAATTCTACTTATTTATTCTGTCTTCAGTGAAAAGACACGATTCTTATGTGATCAAATACACAATTCTATGGAATCTAATCCTATAACTAGAGTGATTGACTGGTTTAGAAATATCATTTATCTTTAACTAGGTCAACATATTCAATTCCTGAAGCTTAGTGAAAACTACTAGTTTAAGAAGCATGATGTTTCTGTTCAGGGAGCTACAATGGTAGAACTTTGCCAAGAATATGAGACTATCCAGGAAGAAATGAAGAAAACATGGGAAAGAAGTGGGGCAAGAAGCCAATTCTCAGTGACATTGGTTGAAACCTGAATCTTGCCAGGTTGGAACCTAGAGCTAGTTCCAAATGGACTTTGGATACTAGAGGTTATATATCCCCTTTAATTTTGTTTATACTCATTTGATTAGTCTCCTAATATACATCTACATAAAGTGTTCATGTTTAAAGTACCTGATATTTAAAGATAAAGTTAAGGAGATACTTATAGAGGTGAAAATTTGGGATAGGTAACATTTCCTATTTTAAGACTCTGTAATTTGTGACCACAGCTTACAGTAGTCTCTGATATAGCTCTCTGAACTTTCTCATGGCTGCAGTTTCCTCAGTTATGATTGGAATTGACTTTGTGGAAACTGAGAGAGATAGTTCCTATAAACCATTTATTCTAGTATTGAATATAAAGTAATTGACCAATGAATGTTAATTTTATAATTTTATTTAGTTGATATATTTGAAATATAATTTTAAAATGTAGTTTTTAATTCTTAGCTAAAGTAATTGACTATTTTACTTTAGAGTGTATTATTGCAAGTACATGCATCCAGCTTCTATGTTAAATCGTCAAGTTGGGAGGTGCAAGCAAATTTAAGCATTTTCTATTAGTAGTCATAATTTTACATACTTGGTTCCTTTGTTTAAGACTATTCTACTTTTATTTCTATACTGTATCATTTATCTACTGAATGCTAAGACTAATTTTATTTTTTTATTTTTTTTATTTCTTGACAGGCAGAGTGGACAGTGAGAGAGCGAGACAGAGAGAAAGGTCTTCCTTTGTCATTGATTCACCTTCCAATGGCCTCTGCGGCCGGTGCGCTGCGGCCTGTACACCGCGCCTATCGGAAGGCAGGAGCCAGGTGCTTATCCTGGTCTCCTATGGGGTGCAGGGCCCAAGCACTTGGGCCGTCCTCCACTGCACTCCCTGGCCACAGCAGAGAGCTGGCTTGGAATAGGGGCAACCGGGACAGAATCCGGTGCCCCGACTGGGACTAGAACCCGGTGTGCCAGCGCCCCAAGGCAGAGGATTAGCCTACTGAGCTGCAGCGCCAGTAAGACTAATTTTAAATGAATACATGTGCAAAGCTTAATATTTAAAAATTACCAATATTATAGGAATTATGTAAATTATAATAATAATCCTTCTTATGTGGTTTCCTACCCCAGGACTCCATCTAAAAATATTTACAAATATTTCAAAATTATCTAGCTTCTCATATTTTATAATTTGCTTGGTAAATGTAGATCTATCCTAAAGATTTTTTTCTAAATACTTAGGAAATATGTCATATATTAATATTCTCCAGGGGGCTGACGCCGTGGCTCACTTGGTTAATCCTCCACCTGCAGCGCCAGCATTCCACTTGGTCACCGGGTTCTAGTCCCAGTTGCTCCTCTTCCAGTCCAGCTCTCTGCTGTGGCCCCGGAGGACACTGGAGGATGGCCCAAGTGCTTGCGCCCCTGCACCCGCATAAGAGAGCAGGAGGGGTGAACCAACCATTGGGGGGTGAACCAACAGAAGGAAGACCTTTCCATCTTTCTCTCTCACTGTCTAACTCTACCTGTCAAAAAAAAAAAAAAAAAAGAATATTCTCCAAGAGTGAGCAATTTAAATTCAATCCTAAATGATTTGAAAATAAAATTTATATGTCTTATGCATGTGTTTAATAGTAGCAATATATTCTTAATTTTAAAAAACGGTATTACACTTTTGCTGCCAGATGAATATTGCCAATTAGTTGATACTTAATTTTAGAATGACATATGAAATTCACAAAAGCAACCATGGACTCTTTCAATGGGAAGAGAAACCCTTATTTAGCCTTACCAGATTTCCAACGGACAATACACTGCTGAACTGTTCTGTCATGGGGTAGTGCTCCATGGCCATGAAGAGAGTATTTAAGACAATGCAGATGGTAATGGCCAGATCAACGAAAGGGTCCATCACGACCAGGTTGACAAGATGTTTCACTTTTAACCATGGTTTGCAGCAGTCCCAAATCAAACACATGTTAGCAAATTTATACCAGCAAGGTGGGCATTTCTGCCTAGATTCTTCAAGTTCTGGAAGAAAAGAAGTTGGAATTCTCAATAAAACTGTTAAATTTCTATAAGTAGTCTTTGGCTTTAAAGTAATTTTCTTCAAAAAAAATCTAAAGTTGTTAAAATACATTATGGATTAAGCTGATAGTGGTACAAGAACAAAATTTCACATTTGGTCTGCTGTCATTGAACAAGTGGGTACTAGTAAACTTCCCAAATTTATTTTGGCCAAAGATAGTTTCCAAGATTTTATGATAAAATTGTACTGATAAGTATTTGTAAGGTCATAAGAAATTAAATGTATTTAATAAATGTTACATTAAGTATACTTAGAAATCATACATGATCCCAATAAAGCAAGATGATACATCTCATCAAAGATTTCTTTACAGAAAATATCCTAGAAGCCTTAATCCGTCATGCTAATCTCAGTTTCTTAGGTTAAATATGGGTTCTTTTTTGGGGGGAGTCTTTTAATGAGATAATTTTGTTGTTACAAGTCTTGTCTCAAAAGTCTCACATGAAGCAACAGGCTATAGGCTTGCATGTTATACTCAACACGGTTCCTTTTCTCTAACTGGAGGGCGCAAAAAAAAGAGGAAGTTGCCAACCTGAGAAGGTAAGGTCCTTCCTGTCAGCATAAACCAACGTTTCACAAAGAGGAATTCATGTACTACTGGCAAAACACAACAGGATTTTAGCTGGAACACATGTAGAACTCATAAATTCTCATGGTATGCATTTAATTTAATATACTGAAATCTATATCATACCAAACCTATGATACAAACTTTTGTGTTAAAGTACATTTTCACAAGAAAGCACATGATTGCTTCAAGGAGAATTGCAACTAAATAAACTGGATTTAAAGATATACAAATGCACAAATCTCTAAAGTGATATCCAAAATACCAAAAGTCAGTAGATATGATAAATAATTTTGGTGAATTGGGAAGTGGAAAATTTGTCTACCCTCTTCCTTTGGCAAGATGATCTCTTCACCAAACCTTGATTGGAAAAGAATGAAGAGTTTGTTGTTTTCTGCTAATAGCATGGCTTCATACCCTAGCACCTGCCCTGCCAAACATGAGACCACCACTCTTTAGCAATGAAATAGAGGGAGATTTCTTCATTTTCCATCCATGGCATAATTCCACTTTATTGTAACTATTTAAAAAACTGGAATGTTCCTCCATACCTGCTACAGATAATGACAAACTAAAATTTTTAAGGGAGACACCTGAATATGAAATTCACGATCACAAGCACAGGTTATAATTCTTTGCTTTGCTAGTAAACATGTGACACAAAGTAATGCCATCATCAAGTTAACCAATTCTCTAAAACAAATTAATTTGCCTTTTTTTTTACAACAGAGTTCCATTTAAGGTAGATTCTTCAGTTGTTTCTTTGGATATTGAAATTCTTCAAGTGCAAAATTTATTTCCATTATTTTTTAAACACAAAGAATACTTGAATTGTAAATCAGAGAATAGCATAAATATAATTTTATATTGTAATTATTTTGTAAATGCTTTTAAGACTTTAGATAACATCATATTTATTCTTATGATAAACAGGAGATATAACCATTCATAGCAGATAGCAAAAATTTTACAAAATCTCACTTTATATTCTGTCAGAATAATTTTTTGAATGCTAGCTACCATTTGTAAACAAACAGAAGCAAAAAACAATTGCACAAAAAATAAATCAGAAGAGTTCATAAAGGAAAATTCAGCAGGTGGTACTCATCTTGACACCGGGAAAAACTGGAGCAAAGTTAATTTCTAAAATAAAAGCATTTGATCATTCATTCCAAAAAAGAGAATCGTGCACTTTGAAACAAAATGAAGCTCTGAGAACTACAGCCACTCCTCCATTAGTCCTATGTGTGTTATCCACAGTAAATTATTTGCAATTAAGTTTATACCTTTTGCTATCTCAACTTGACTCCTCAGGTGATCCTAACTCACCCTCTTAATGTCAATCTCAAGGGCACGACCAGAAAGTATTTATTATTTTTGTTTTTTAAAAACTTGAAAAGCAAACCATTCATTTTGTTCATCCATACTGCTTCATTAAGTATGAGGCTATTCAGTACTCTGGACAATGAAGACTTGGCTGTAGTTACAAAGGAGGAAAATAAATATTGCTGCCGGATCAACAAGCCTGGTCCACAAAAAGGGAAAGTGAACTAAACCATGATTAGACTTACAAGAAACAATCCCCAAATAAACAATTTACATCAAACAAGAAAACTTTCCACCATTATCAGGAACAACAGAAATTTAAAAAAAATAAATAAAAGGGACTGAATTAAAGTCAGCTCTGTATACATGTATGTGTTACGTATTGTTAATAACCAACCTTGACCAATGCCTAATAACCAACCTTGACCAATGCCACACTCGAAGTGTTTGGAAAGAAAAGTCTACTGCTCATTTTACCTAACCAATAAAACAGAACAAAAACTCAGCCATTGTCCCTCACAAAAATACAAAGAACTCAGTAGATATGTAAACCAAAACACTCTTAGCCTACTGCTTCCTAGAACATTCTTTCCATCCTAAAGAAGCAACTCCATGAGATATATTTCTACAGAGGACAGTGTTGGTGCAATTCATTTTGAACTCTATATAGTAGTTAGTGGACAAGTCCAATCTTGTGGTAATTTGATGTGTTTAAATAACTTCTTATGTTAGCTCAAACTTAACGCTATCAGAAGTGCAAAGTACGACTGTTGATTTAGACTTACCCTGTCTCCTTCTCTACTTCCTGCTTTAGGGAGCAGACATACTGCTGACATCGGTAGCAGAACCACTGGCAGCTTCCTCTCAGTGGTTTTGCTATGGCAAGGAGCAGAAGACCAGAGAATCTTCAAAACATTTACCTGGAGGGACAGGGAGGAGCAAGCTACTGGCAGCTGGGGGGGAAGAGGGATTGCAAGCTAACGCAGGCGAGGTTGGGGAAGAACGTACTAGAGTTTAATATTCCATTGAATTCAGTGTAAAGGTTTCTGATACTGTACCAGGACATTATGAATATTGGGTCTTATAATACTGACTTGTTTGTGATGTATATAGTCATCTATTCTGTGAGTTTTTTCTAGCTGTGACTTTTCAGCTTTGGTACTGGTATGAATCATGGGATCTTTGCATTCAGATTAGAAAATAATTACTTCAAGAATCTACCCAATCTTAAGAGAAATTATAAGCAACATCAACATTGTCTCTCTTGGCCTCATTGTTTTTTCTCTTTCTCTTTTGACATACACACAACACACACTCACACATGTGGGAGGAGGCACAAGGGGGAGTTGAAAAAAGAGAGGGATGGGATACACTTTACATGAAAATATGAAGGGGAACTAGAGAGGGAAGGAAAGAAGAGGGCAAAGGAGGGAATGGGACACATTTTATGTGAAAGTATTTTCCAGGTAGCTGAAGTTGATAGTTGTTGTTTGCATTCACTTTCAGTATGGAAAGGAAAAACATGTTAACAAAAATAACAACAATAGAGCAACTAATAATAATATTTATTTATTGTGTTCTGCATGCCAAGTACATAAGTGCTTTATATATGATAGCTTACTTAATCATTACAACATCGTTATGGTTAAATATCTATTCACATGTTACTGATGAGAGAACTGAAATTCAGAGTCACAAATGAACACAGCTAATGTGGCAGAGCCAGGACTTTATCAAAGATCAAGTTGTCCCCAAAGTCTTTATTTTGGCATTACGAGATCCACACTTCTAAACACAATGTTAACTACTCAGATAAAATCTGCAACTAGAAATGGTTGAAATATTGTAAAACTCTGGTTAGAGGCAAACATACGACTAAAAAATTTTGAACACTTTACTTCAGCAAGTTCAATATCAAATCCTAATTCACATTTTTCATTCATATTTCTAGTTAAATCAAGGAATCTTATTTTATGAGCTTCAAGTAGTTAATACAGTTCAAATGGGTTAGCACTGTCACAATGATAAGCATTTATCATTATAATATTTTCAATGTCATGCACACAGTAGGCTTCAAGAGTTTAGAGGTTTATCTAGGAAAGCAGTATTCCAAATATACCTTGAACTTGCAGCAGCTTCCTGGAGCTAAATATAAAAATCTAGACAAGTCAGTAGAATCCATGTTATTATATAGTAAAATATATAATGATGATTATAAGAGCTGTCAGGAAGTTTTTTTTAGTTGGAACTTATTGGAAATTTGTTTTCATCATGAACAAAGCACAAGCAAATTAGCTATGATGTGGGACTTTGGCATACCTTCCATGGTGTTGGTCAAAATACTCGCTATACTCATTGCTCTTTGCCTTGATGTGGGATCTTCCAACAAATCCATGGAAACATGGTAAGAACTGGACCGTCTCTTTCTTATTTCTGTTTCAGTAGTTGTGCCCTAGAAATAAATTTTCAGGTTAAATAACATTGTTCTTCAGGACAGCAAAAATACAAAGCATTCCAATAATAGGTGTTACTTACTAAATGCTAACCCTGTTTTCTCATATGGAAACAGCTCATTATATACTGCAGGAATTATCATTCCTGGGCAAAGCTTGAAAGTCTATCAGATTCTCACATTTTGTAAATGGCTGGGTTTGTCAAAATCGATTTTCCTATTCCTCTGTCCTGGAGTTTGGGCTAGAGGGATCATGTCTGCTATTGTGTGATCTTTCAGAGTTTCAACCAATCCTACCTGGGATGTCAGACTGACACATATTGTTCCTTGATTGACTCTCACGTTCAGTTATTAGGGCATAACAAACATACATTCATCTGGTTCAATGTATGAAATAATTTACATTTCCCCTTTCATAATTTTTCCCCGAAACATGAATGCCAGTAGCAAAATGTTTTTGTTAATGAAAGACATAATATTTCCCAACATACCTCTTAATAGAACTAAATTTTAGAACCTATCTATAACTTTATCTTACACTTGTAATATAACTACATGTACAAATGACCTACCCTTGACTTTGAAACTCTAATGTGAGAAGATAACACCAAATTGGGAGATGGTTGAGAGAACTTGAGTTTTAGCCATGATGCAATCATTTGCTACTTTCTTATTTAAAAGTAAATTCATCAGGATTTCAAATTGGGCAGAATTTTACCACATTTTTAATCTTTACTAACTGCATACCTCAAATACATACATATTCAAAACCAAAACCTCCACTCAGTTGATTTATTATCACTAATTATGATATATATCCATATGCGTCAGTGTAACATTAATTTTAAGGCAGAAGAGAAGGAAAATTAATGAGAGAAGAAACTTTAAACGCTTTCCAAAAATAACGTTCTTTAAATCAAAAGGGTGGTTCTCAGAGCAAAGTTTTAATAAACAAATTAAAAAAAAAAAAAAAATGGTCAGGTGTAGTTCATCAGCCTTTTCTGCTCTATACAGGGCTATATGTACAAATCTGGATCTGTCTAATTTTTAATGATAGTTTCCAAAACCACTTATGGTACTACCAAGAAAATTTTCTCTCAAGCTAAATTGCTCAATTTAATTTCTTTGTGGAGTACAGGAAACGGTATGTTTTGGAGGGTATCATCTGTCCACAGCTATCTATTTTCCATTCTTATTTCCCCTCTGGTGTCCCCAGAGATGGTCTCATTTGTCTGCACCTTCAGCTCATTCTGTGCAACAGCAAAGTGCTCTGCCTCAAAGCACCTGACGGAGGAAGCAGGAAATAAAAAGATCACACAGAAGACTTATGGTGATCACTAATAATGCTAAACAGTTTCTGGTAGGCTGATAGACTGACGTTCTCTTGGTATGGATGCAAAGAAATGGTGGATTTGTTTTTGTTTACCCCAATTAATATTTGTCAAGCTCAGTTTGGTCATACTTTATTGTAAGAGCCATGTGGAACACATGTGAGGGAGGGAGAGTCCCAGACATTATTCTCAGTCTGAGTAGGCCTGGGTCGCCCAGGAATCTCCATTTCCAAGGATCATCCCAGGAGATTCTTGTGTGTGTAACATAGGGTGAAGAACATTTTGACAAACATTGATTACAATGAACGTGTGTGTTTCCTTAGCCATCTCTTCTTTCCCATTTAAGAAAGTTAAGAATTTCAATGGGAAGTAATTTTTCAATATGGACAGAATGTAGGTTCAACATCCGGCATACATCTTGTTAGATCTTAGCTGCACCATGCATGGGCCTCATTTTCCTCTTCTGTAAAATTGGATAATATCAGTAACTACCATAAAGGCTTATTGTGGTGGTTAAATTAATTAACACATATAAGGGGTACTAGGCAGCATCTGGTACATAGTAAGCTATGAGAACCATTAAAGAAAAGTTAGCATTATTTTTCATTTTTCCTGATTTTTTTTTCCACTATGAAATCCTACTTTATTCATGGCTTGATCTGGTTCCAAGACACTTGGACAGTTCTCTGGGAGAAAGAGGTAGGGGAGAGGCCACATGAAGAAAAAAAAAGTGTCAACGGCTATTTTTATAACCCCAAATTAAGAAGCTCCTCTATTAGGTGACTGAAAACTCATTCCATATCATTTTAATATGGCTTAAAGAGCTTATCCAGTTAAAATCAATGGAGCTATGTTAAAAATTTATACAAAGGAAATTTCAATATGATTCATAAAACTATAAAATATAATCAAAAAGTATTGTTGGAATATTTTTATAATGGCAAATGAAATTGTATTTGATACCAACATTAAAGGCATCAAATGTTTTATGATGGAAATGCTAATAACATATCCCTATAAATGTCTAGTATTTAGTTGAAATCCTTTTCCATCTGCATGGTTTTGGGACTATTTATTTACAGAAGAAATTCATGACAGTAACATAAAAATTGACATCTGTTCTAAATGAACACACTTGACTCTGTACCAGGTACTTTTTGAGTGGTGTCTTTACAATTCAAATTTGCAATGGACTTAGTATCACAACTTGGATATTTGAGTGGATGCTAAAAATGTTAGAGTATTCTGATCTGCAAAGAGAGAGAATGTTGCCTTATAGGCTTTAGATGTATTGACCAATATTATACTTCAAGTAGAAGTATCAAATTCTTCTTTTAAAATAACATTGACATAGCAATTCTTTATCAGAATATTTATACAATTTATTAACCTTAAGTTCCTTGCACTCAATGCAATTATATTAAGCATGTTTAACACATTATTTTGTTTTGTGACAAATTTCCAATGGTAGTAATGATGATAAAAGAACATTTTGATTACATTGAGACTCAACCTATGTTTTAAATTACTTTGTAGAAAAGTCTAAATGGAACAGTTTGACAAAATAATTTCATAGCTTGACCAAATTCTCCTGCCTATATCAGCCTACGGCTCCCCTCCCATCAGCTGCAGTTTTACTTAGTCTCACCTCTGGCAGGAGCTGCCCAGTGGGAGATGTGAGGGCAGAGGGTCCCCCTACCAACGATACCACGCCATTGCAATCCACAGCACTGTGCATCTTCCCATTCATGGGCAAAATGGGGAGCACCCTGGAGGTGCGGCTGGCTTGGCTGACATTGCTGTGACGTCGTTCTCCATGCCTGTGTGGCACAAACAGAGAGTCTCTTCGGCTGTCATTGTCCTCAAAAGTGCTGTGCTCATCATCCGCAAAGTCATTCTCAGAGCCAACATCCTTTGTTCGACCTCTGAAGCTGAAAAGGCTCGCCCTACTGTTGCGTCTTGGAGAGAAAAGGGAGCCTCGGATGCTCAATAAAGACTATGAATAACAAGAAAAGAAACAAAACATAGATAAGACAAATTAAGTGTTTGCATACTGGAAAATATTACATGACTCATTGTTTCATAGTTGGACATTTATCTAAGTCATTGGAAAGGTATAACTGAGGGCTTCTGTGGTGACTGCTGGTGGCATTCCAGCACCCTGTATTGGTTCACTGTCTTCTATTTTTCTTCTCCTTTTTATCCCTTTCTTATTTTTATAATGGTTGTCTCTCATTTTCTCCTACTTTCTCATGCCGTAACATAGTCAAAAGTATGCTCATAACATTGTTCTGTCCTAGTATTAGCACTTAGAACTGAACTTTTTGCTAGAACCTTTCTCCAGAAGTTAATTCCACTTAGCAATTCAAAGCAAAACAATTAAATACAGTTACATCTTTTGTAGCCTAGAATACACCCTGTAAAAGCCCTTTGGTATCCACACCCTGATGTAGATTTCACCATAGAAGAAAGTAAAATGAATCTTGCTAGTAGGTCTGTTTAATTATATTACAGGAAACAGCCTCTCCGCTTCCTTTTCCATATTTATAATAGTCTTCAATAAGAAATTAAACAAATCAAGATGGAAAAAATCTACATCATTCTTTCCCTGCTTTTCACTCCTCTATCTCAAGAAATCTGAAGAACACCATATTTACAAACACCTGGCTTTTTCACTAAGAATCTGATGCTAATCATTTAGAATTTTCTAAATTTTTGACATCGTCTCTGCAGTTATTTATTTATGAGAGAGACAGAGTGCTCTACCATTTGCTGGTTCAGTCCCCGAATGTCCCTGATGACTGAGACTGAGACTGGTGAAAGGCTGGAACCAGGAACTCAGTCCAGATGGCAGGAACCTAATTACTTGAGCCATCACTGCTTCCCAATATACCTTGAATTAGCAGGAAACAAATCAGGATCCAGAACTAGGATTTGAACCCCCATACGTTGATATTGTACGTGGGTGTACTATTTGATGCCTGAATTGCTGGGCTAAACTGCTGACTTGCTAGTCCACTGTTACAACCTCACTCTACTGAACATTTGCTTTTGCTTATCCAATGTTCATTTTTCTTCTTTTGACAGTACCCTGAGGAATTCTCCTCAGCTCCCAGACAAGGACATTTGAGAGACACTAAACCCAGTCCATGGATCCAGCAGTGGGAGAATGCCCTACTTTCCAGTCAGTCGGTGCACTTCATTTATCCATCTGTAGAGAATGGTCTAACCTTGGGCATAGGATTCTGCTTCTCATCAAGAGAGTTTGTACAGTTGTTCAGAAATCTGCTTTCTTCTTGTGGTTATAGAAAATATTAGGGCTGCAGTGAGCATCTTGCTACTATATGGGAGAGACTTGGACAGGGGAGAACTGGCCACAGTGACATGTTTTAAGATATGGGATCCAGTCATGCCTAAAACTTCTTAAGGATATTATTTACATGAGAAAATCATAATCTTGCAGCAAATGTCTACTTTACATTTATCTTTTCAATATGAAAGCATAAATGGTTTTCAACACTCTGCTTTCCATCATGTCACTACAAAACAGCTGCTTTAAAAATATTTTAAGGGCACAAGCCCTTGCAAAATTGACAAAAGCTGTGGGCCTTTCATCACTATTACCCAGGTTAAATGTCCCTACTTGGTTTGACCTTTTCAGTATCACTTCCAAGGCTTGTAGGGTGGGGTTGTCCAACTTCAGGATAATATCTCTCGCTCGCTCTTTCTCTTTTTCTCTCTCTCCCTCCCTCTTTCCATGCTTCCTTTTCTCTTTCCCTCTCCATCTACCCAGTCATTTGCTTCGCTATTTTTTTTTTCAGGTACAAAACAAGTCTATCAGTATTGTTACACAGAAACTGCTTAAGAAACAAACATCAAATCGCACTAGACATGTCCTGCCTTAGCTGAGGCATCTGGTGGCCAATTTTTGTAGTATATAAATCAAGCTATTCTTTGAATGCAAGTCTAATTTTTAACTGGAGACACAAATAACCAAGGATGATTAAACACCACTATTCATTTAATGTTATGAATCTTTTTTAGTGCCTGTCCACCCAAGAATTTGGTGACATTTTTGGAAATGTTTTTCTTCAGTTCCCTTTGAAGCAAGGGGAGGGCATATGTACTTTGCGTATGAAGTTTGCCTGAGGTTGGAACAACCACACACATGATCTGAGGGGACTGAGGGCTTCCAGGTCCACTTCTGTGCTTGTGTCATCCAGAAAAATCTACAGCTCACTGGGTCAAGACACAGCAGGTAATAAGAGACGGGAGCCATTTACCGATAATTTCTCACATAAAATATTGCCTGGGGAAGCTCAAGTCTTTAACAAGACCTGAAAAACACAAACCTTCCCCAGCCCAATGCAATCTAAAAATTCCTTTCTGGGATTCCACCATACCGTAAAATTTGCAAATTCTCTGAGGTGACACCTGAAACACGGATGTCGTTACCACTCAGAGAGCATTGTGTCATGCAAGGGAAAGGCGTCTTTCTCTCCACCAAATTCTGGCACATCATTAAATAGTAATGGTTTATATCATCTGGTATTTTTACCTGGTGTGGAGAAGAAAATCTCTTTTCATATGTCAGCCTACTTCCTTCTAAGGAAAAACGGAAACCTTTTCTTCTTATGCTGTCTTCGGATTCAGATTTTCGGACTCCATCTTCCTTCTCTTCTTCTCCAGACTGTTCTTTTTGCTTCTTTTTCTTTCTTCTGTTTTTCAGCTCTTTCTCACTTTTGGAGCTCAACTTTGATGCTACTGAAGAACTCTCTGAGAAAACGCCAACGCCCCCGGCACCACTGAATTCCCTTGATTCAGCAGAAGCTGCAGCAGCTGCTGCCTAGAAGGGCCCAAACAAATGGTTACTGAATATACATTTTTTGAAAAAATCCATGTTCTTGCTTAATTTATCTTTATAAGAATTTTTATTAAAGAAATACACACAGAGAGAGAGAGAGAAAAAGAGAAAGTTCACATCTGTTGGTCTTCCCCAAATGCCTGCAACATCCCAGGGTGGCATGGAACCCAATCACTTGAGTCATGGTCACTGCTTTAGGATTTGCAGCAGTAGAAAGTGGAAATCTGGAACAGGAATTCAACCCAGGTACTCCAATGTAGGACCCAGATGTCTAATACTAGGCTAAAATTTCACACTTAATATCATGAATATGATCTTAAAAAGCAGTTGTTTAATGATTTGAAAGACAGTGTATTGTCATTAGGCCAATCAAAGTAAACACAAATAGGCCTGTGAACGATGTTACATATGACTCTAATGAAAAGCATCAACCTGTGGGCTCATATAAATTTTCCTAATATCTAGTAAGATGAATAATAAATGCAAATATCTTGACAATTTTTATATGACTTAATCAGTATTTAAGAAGGAAGAATTTTAAGAATTAGAGGTTTTCCATTTAAACCTTATAGACATGTGCCTTCCAACACACTTACAACTGGCAATGACTGTCAGTTCCAGTCTGCATTATTTAATTTAATTCAGTCGGTGTTTTATTCTAAAGAGCTTTTCCCTCCTTGATTTAAATTGACTGTTTCTGAAGACTGCATATTACATATTATATATTGGGGAATTACAGATCATAGTATTTGCATGGATTTGTAAGTTATAATAGGACAGTCTTTGAAACACTACAGTGTTCAATGTCATTGCTATTGCCTTAAGATACTTTATTGGTCTGGCCATTATTATGTATTTAAGCAAATTCAATGACAAAAGGAAATAACCCTCAACATTCAAGGGAAGTCAAAAGTAGTCTGTTGGATTACTTAAAGCCATTAAATCAAGCAAGCAAAATTAGTAAACTCTTGCCTTATTTTGAAAACTCAAGTCCAAATGAAAAGATCTATAGCATACAAGGCAATTCTGTCACTGTTTACATACACTTGCATCCTACACAACCCATAAACTTGCATTTGTATACTTCATATAGAGGAGAGCAAATGTTGATAAGGTATTTGCCTTTCCAGACTTAAGAAATAATCTTCTCTATTCAACACTGGTTTTCTGACCTTTCCATCTCTAGCAATACCCCTGTAATGAAGAAGCAATTGCAACCAAACTCTTCTTCCCCAAAAGTTTACAATAATATTTAATGAAGAACATGTAGGTCTGCCTACTTTGTGAGTGTGAGTAAACGAAGGTGTTGATAGTTACGTTCCTCAAGGGATCACATGGGAGGGGAACAAAGCCAATAAAACAATTATAATTCTCCATGTTTTGATGCTGGTGGTTTTGATACATATTTATATTTATATCAATATTACTGACAGTAATCACCAAAATAAAGTAATAATTTCTTGAACCAAACAGGCTCCCATAATTAACCAAACACATAGCACATCATTTCTAATGTCAACTACAATGTCACTGACTGCAACATTAATGTCACAGCATTGAGGAAATGAAAGAAAAAGGGCTCTTTGCTTGCTAACCATACCTGAGCTTCTTCTTGTTGCTTTTTCAACTGTTCAAGCATCTGTTGAAACTCAGCTTCTTTCTGCTCAGCCTCTTCCAGTGTTGCCTGATTCTGCTCCTCATAGGCCATGGCCACCACAGCCAGGATCAGGTTTATCAGGTAGAATGAGCCCAAGAAAATGACCAGCACAAAAAATATCATGTATGTTTTTCCAGCAGCACGTAATGTCTGTAAAAATTAAGAGGATATTTTAACAAATATATAGGATGTCACAAACTAAAACTCTAAGTAATAAAATAATCTATAGTACTTCTCATGATTTTAGTACTACACGCTTCCTAGAAAAACTTTTTTAATATGTTCTCACTGATTGATAAAGGTTTAATAAAAGATTCTATAACAAAATATTATACAGCAAATCTCTTCATCTTATTACTTCATGATTTTATTACTTCAGAATTATTTTGTCTCTTCTCACCAGTTGATAAAGGTTTTCCCAAAAGTCTTGAGTCATGAGACGAAATAAGGACAAGAAGGCCCAACTAAAGGTATCAAAGCTTGTATAGCCATAGTTGGGGTTTCTACCAGCCTTCACACAGATGTATCCTTCTGGACATTGTCTATAATTGGATTGGAGGAAAAAGAGGAATTCAGTAGCAGGAAATCTGCTCATTGGCTTTTGTGTTCTTATAGATAACCATATATTTTATACAAGCACTATGGAAACATATTTCTCTTTCCTTACCCGTAGTTAACACACCACTGTGTAGAATAATCCAAGTAATAACAGTATCTATTGAGTGTATTTTGTGGATTGTTCTGTGATTGTAATTGACATATTACTGTATTATGTTTTCATATAAAAACAATCATTTCTTCACTAGCATCTCCTGGAACTCGTGGACATGACCACACAAATAGGTATACAGGAACAAAGTTGATTTTCACTGAACATATCTTGAGTCAGATATATGTATGAGTGTGGGGTAGAATTCAGAGTTAAATAGTTGAATACTGGATGGAGTACATTAAGAGGAGAAAATAATGGTATAGTCAAGATTTCATTATACGACCTTAAAGATCAAGCAGACCAGACCTTAACATGGTGCCTTATATGGCTGGACTAAATGATTTTGAGCAAGTTTTCTAATCTTGCTGATCTTCAGGTACCTCACATGTAAGAAAGAGCTAATATCAGACATGCCTCACCAATTCTCAAGCAGTGAATAGGACATCTATACAAAGTATTTAATATCATGAAGATAAGAAATTAAAATCAGTCAGTTTTGCTTATCACTGGCATCTGGATATAAAGGTAGTACAATTTTTATGTTGTATGTATTAGTTACTGATGTATACAATATCATCTTCTATAGAAAGAACTTTTGTCTTTGCTTCAAAAACCTTGCCAAATAGCTAAAGGTAAACATTTCTCTGAATTTCCCTAGGATTTAGCTCCATGTACCAGGCTTCTTAATGACAAAGGCTTGAATGATATCAATTGTAATAATTAAAAGCAGCTGTTAATATATGTCCCTTAACCCACTGAATCCCCATGGCAACCCTATAATATTATCATTTATCATAAGAGGAAACTAAGAAAGGATAGGTGACTGCACATGATGGAATCAAAGTTTGAATCTATGTGGACTCTTCAGGCTTTGCTCTTAACCACTCTGCTAAAATGTTCGGGGCATATACTGATCATGAGTCAACCTTGTCTTTAGCATTCATACATTTTCAGCCATGGAGAACACATTAGCAAATGCTAAATTTCACACTTACAGAAATATGTGCTTATGAATTCTATTAACTTAAGCTTCTTATGTATATGTACTGCTTTTCTCTATTTTCCACTGAACTAATTTGGAAGATTAGACGTGACCTAGTATAGAAAAATAATTGCTGCATAAGAGTGTGTGAAGGAGGTGAGAATCCACACTTATCCGGCTATTCTGAGAGTCAGCATGAAGGGGAATTTATGGAGGACGTTGAATGAAGAGGGAGTGGGGGTTGAACAGGTGGGAGGTGGCAGAATATTTAGGCTGATAGAGCAACACGGACTGAACCTCAACAGGAAGCACAACTTACCCTGCATCTGAGCTGTTGCCACAAAGCAGAGCATCATTTTGTCCTTCCAAAAAATAAAAGTGACCTATTTGAAGAGCAATGATAGAATCATTTAAAAAATCTTTGAAACATTTCACAAGTAATCTTAGGCTTTTGAAAAACATTGAAAGATAAAAGATTTAGATACAGTCTATTTTGTGATAGAAAGAATATATGGAGCCATGTTGTGGCACAGCTGGTAAAGCCACTGCCTGCAGTCCCTACATCCCTTTTGAGTGCCAATTTGAGTTCCAGCTGCTCTACTTCTGATCCAGCTCCCTGTTAATGCACCTAGGAATTCAGTGGAGGATGGCAAGTGCTTGGACTCCTCCACCCACATAGGAGACCTGAAAGAAGTTCCTGGCTCCTAGCTTCTGGTTTTTAACTGGCCCTATCTGTTGCAGATATTTGGTGAGTGAACTGACAGATGGAAGATCTCTCTGTCCCTCCCCATCCCTCTCTATAATTCTGACTTTCAAGTATATAAATCAATCTTTTCTTTAAAAAATAATATATAAGTGACCGTTTAATAAATATAATATTTGGGTGATTGCCTTTATCATCTAAATCATGAGTTATCTTTCCAACATAAAAATAGAAAAAAAAGACATCAGACCAGGTGATTTAAACAAATATTTAAGAATTATAATCTTCATTTCAGACACAGAGAGCAAGCAGGGTGGGGAAGAGACAGAGAGAGAGAGAGAGAGAGAGAGAGGGAGAGAGATAGAGATAGCGAGCTCACATCTCATAGTTCATTCTCCAAAAATCTGCAACTAGGAACGGGTCAAGGCAGAGCCCAGAGCTGGAAACTCAATCCAGGTCTCCCACATGGGTGACAGTGACCCAAGTACATGAATCATCACCAGCTGCCTCCCAGGGTGTACTTAACAGGAAGCTATAATCAAGAGTGGAGTCAGGACTCAAACCCAAGCACTCGGATATGGGTTGTGGATGTCCAAACCAGTGTCATAAATGCTAGGCCAAATCCCTGCCATAAATGTGGACTTAGAAATCCATCTGAAGGAAACACAAATAGGAAAAAGTTTTACAAACAAAGATTGTCATTATGCAGCTATTATAATATTATTCAATGGGCAATGCCATAATGAATGGAACAAATTATTTCCTTTACTCATTTATCCAATGAATCTTATTATCTCAATTATAAATCATCATAACTCATTAAATAGGAAAATACTGTGAGAGTGATGTAATTTCACATGGTTCTTAAAAACATGTAGAGCATGGAAAAATACCCCAGTAGAGTATTAATAATCAAGAGACCAATCAATACTAGCTAGCTAAGAGTACATGGAGAGAGAGATACATCCAAATGGCAAAAGGGCTGGCTTCAGTGATAAAGTTTATTTGGATGTCCATGCCTAAAATCAAATCAAACCACACTGATAAACCAGTATAATACAAAGACTGACAAGAAAGGGATAAATCGGAATATTAGTAAATGAATAGCTGAGTCGAGTTACTTAACTTTCTGATTTCACAATGTATTGCAATCAATACATATATTGAGTCAATCAAATAAGACCAAAATCTGCTACTCCCCCACTACATATTATTCTTAACAACACATTTCAGCATAATACATTACATAGTTTAAACTACTAACTTCTTTATTAAATCTACTAAAAACTCCTGATCAATGCCTACCAAACAATTTTTGTGTATACAGTATGATATAAAATTGCTTTCAACCCTGGGTTAGGGAAAGATGACATGTTTTCCTACAGTAATGTTTATTGTGAACTGACAGAAAAGTGAAAAGGAGTAAAGTATCACTTGATTTCCCTAATACATGCACTAAGCTATTTTAAATTTGTTTATATCATTAGGTTCACATCAAGGTTGAGATACATTTCATTATATATAGCTCTTAGCATTTAAAGAATTAAATTTAATAGGTAAAAAGCATATCTTACTTTTATCCTCGATATATTCATCCCAGTTAAAAATACTCATTGTCCTATTGAAAGTGGTACCATTTCCATCCAGTGAGTTATTAAAGAAAGAAGTGACATTTATTTCAAAGGAAGAATTATCTGGGGGCCATTGCAAACACTTATTCCTCAGGTTGCCCATGAACAGCTGCAGCCCTATGAGAGCAAACACGCTCAGACAGAACACAGTCAGGATCATGACATCCGAGAGCTTCTTCACCGACTGGATCAGGGCCCCCACGATGGTCTTCAGGCCTACGGAGAAAATCAGAGGGTGGAATTAAATATGCTTTACAACAAATAATTTACGAAAAACATATCATGAGCTTGTCCTGGAAAATAAAAATGTCATGCAGAATGACAATAGTATTAGTTTAATGTTTGTGATCGAATATTTCATGAAAAGCCTGCTAGCTGGTGAAAATGAATGAAAGCAAAACCTGTACGTTCATTAGAAAACTGAATGGAAATGAATCAAATGCATATTTCCAACCACTCCTTAGAGCAAAAGAAATGATTTTGTTACTCATGCTTAAATATCAACCTTGTGTAAATATTTTGCTTTTATTTGCAGATGTCTTACTCCCTAACCCCTTATTGGATTTAAATAAGTCTATATGAATAGAGTAGTAAGAATTCATGAAGTCACTGAATTATGAGTTTATATATTTGCGGGTTCTGCAAGCTTGGGAATGGGTTAACAAAAGGAAGACATCTGAAAATTGAGCCCCATGCAGCACTCATGCTACCCCTTGCTGTTTCACTTATCTGCAGTTAAAAAGATTACCAGTTTTAGGCCTAAATGTTTATTTGCATCAGTTTGAATGTCTCTTAGTTTAGCTTCTATGCGGAAAGCTTGATGTTACGGGATGCAAACCATGTAGCCTGTTAACTGCAAATGCCTCATGCAAAAGTTGTTAAACTCAAAGGCTGATTTAGAACAGCTGTAAAGAAAGCAACGAGTAAAAAGCAAAGAATCAAATCTATCCAAATATGATGTACTGATTCTTGCCTTCTGAATGCATTTTATCTGCAATATACAACAAGCAACAAGGCTTCTGCACAAAAGCTGTGATTGTAGCACCAATGCAGCTAAAGTCAGCCTCGGTGTTTAACCTAGCTCTCACCTGGAATGACTGAAATTGTTTTCAATGCTCGGAGAACTCTGAATGTTCTCAACGCTGAGACATTGCCCAGGTCCACAAACTCTGTCACATATCTGTAATAGGGAGTTCACACACAAACACAATGACAGAACACAAGAAACAGTTGGAGATATAAGGAGCCTACCACCTTATACCAGTTTCTTCTTACCTGGGATTACAGAAATAGTTTTCAAAGCTCTCAAGACTCTGAAAGTTCGAAGAGCTGAAACATTGCCTAGGTTTACAAATTCTGTTACATACCTGTAGAATTAAATCAGAGTTATTCAGAATTTTGGGAAATCTAAGTCTACGTTGGTCTTTCATGAAGACCTTTTCAACTGCAATGAGTATGGCCATCAATTTCCCATTTAAGAGAAAAACGGCATTTTCATCTATCATAATCTTGAATATGTGGGAAACCTCATTTTAATAGTTTACAATGCTTATTGAAACCAAAGCCATGTAATTTACTGAGAGTTCCTAATTTCTCCAAACTGAATATTTGAAAGAAAAATATCTTAAATTCATTTGACAACTAAAATAATTGCTTGCTCTCCCAAAGAAAGCCACCAAGGAGAAATATGGTGTAGGCTCCCACTAGTGATTCACTCTTCCAGGTAGAAAATGTATTAAGATACTTACGCAAAAGTAATGACTGTGAAATCCAGCCAATTCCATGGATCCCGTAGAAATGTGAAATCTTCTAAACAAAAGCCCCTTGCAAGTATTTTAATAAGTGATTCAAAAGTATAAATTCCTGTAAAGGTGTACCTGAGAGAAAATAGCCAAGCTCACATTAAATAATAATTTATATGTACATGTCATAAAGGTAACTTAATAAATGAAAATTAGAGGATTCCACATTGGTCTTCCTGTGATACAGAACTTAAGTAGAGGTTAAGACAAAAAGGTGCATTAAACTCTGAAGGATATTCCCACTGTAAATAAATGAACACTAAGCTTTCCATACAAATTAATTTAAAAAATTTAAATAATATAATTCTAAGTGAAGATAAAATCTGAAAATATATTGACTCGGTCAGTTTTAAGCAAATAGACACTAATATAAAAATGAATGAATCATTTGTGCTTCATAAAACATGCACTATTGAGATCCATGAAATACGTACTACTAAAATACAAACTGGGTATAATAAGAACATTGAAATTAGGTATAATTTTAATCAGAAGATACTAATAAGCACTGTACAAAACTCACAAGGAAGACAAAGGGTTACAAATTCTGACAGTCAAAATGGTATAGTTAGAGCAAATGCCTGTGCCACTGCAAGCCATCACAGAGCAAATTAGCACTTTAAATGCATTTGAATTAATGTCTGCTTCATGATTTGGTGAAAACAAAGATGAAGTCTCCAGATGTTAATAGCACAATTTGAAACAGAAAGGGAAGCCCAAACTGTAAGGTATTTTTAAAATTTTTACTTACTCCACATTCTTTGTCCAGTCTGGAGGGTTACTCATGGTCATAAACACACAGTTGGTTAGAATAGTGCACATAATGAGCACATTGAATAAAGTAGAAGAATATCGTCAAGGAAGACAAAGGTTAATGGAAATCTTACTTTCATGCACTACTGTGCCTTCATCTGAAATCATGAAGTTTAAAACAATTCATGCTTATTATTAATTTATGCTACTCTTTTATAATTGAGCTTTTCCGTTTCTGTAATTCAATGACCCTTTATCTAAAACACATCTCAAGTCAAACTATGAGGTTATTTAGAGGCTTTATAGGTACTTCTGGTAATTATAAAGATTTAATGCAAAGAAAGAGTTCATTTGTTGATAATATATCAACATAAGTTTTCTTAGTGACAGAGTCAGTTGAACAGCTACAAGTTTACTATGCATATAAGCGCTGGCAAAAATTCATCAAGAGGATTTGAGTAATTAATTTAATGTATTATAACTTGATTCTGAAAGTCATGTCAGTGGGAGGTCTTATAATAAGCTCCTTTCTAATTGGGGTGTATAATATACTATAATTGCTCATAAAATTCTGAAGTGTGAGACTAGAGGGTAGTGTTAGCACTGGCATTTCTTGGGTTTATGATTGAGTCAAATTATTTATTAAGTTCCCAGGGACTTAGTTGACCTGATTATAAAAGCAAGAAAAAAATAACCATTCCATTGAATTGCTGTGGAGATCTAATTAAAAATTAGTAAATCTCCTATAACTTAACATACATGGTACATGGTAGATGCTCAAACAATTGCTTTTCTTATGACCTGAATCATAGAGAACACTGTAACAATACCTGGTTTGCTTTATTCCATCAGACTTTGCCATTAGAGGTATAGCCAATGTCTTATACTTTCCTTTACATAGAAAAAAATTATGAAAAACTGTTTCCAAAGTATTCAGTAGCTAGATAATTGAAATGATTTTCTTTCATATTTAAGAAAAAAACACAATAAGGACTCAGGTTCAATTATATAAAGAAGCCTCCTTTATCAATGTGACAATCTAAAAAACTTCAAAGATGGAATAAATACTATTTATATTCCTTCTCATTGTTTATTTTTGTTATAAATCATCACATTACTTGCATATAGCAAACCATAACCCTGATTTCAACCACAATACAACAGGATGGTGAGTAACCTACATTGTGTTAATCTATAATGGAAATTCCTTTGCATCTATAATCTGTTTTAGTCAAAAGAGCATTGATTTTTCCTTTTTAGTTGCACTGCAATAAGGCCCATCTTATTCAAATGAATCTGCATGAAAACAGTCAGAAGTGAGTGATGTGTATCAGCCACCAGAGTGCCCTACCATCAGAGAACACATAAAAACACCATTTTAGAGAAGAAACACATTGTTTCCCTTTATTGCTAAAAACAAAGATAAAAGCAAATTAAAGATAGCTTGTTATCGACATATAGAATTAGAGGATTCTTTGTTTTTGCTGGTCTGCTAGGTTCTACTGGGAAAGATCACACTCCTTGGCTGATGGGTACCATTCTAATGCATGATCATAACCTCAACAGTCATCAACACAGTCTTGTATTCTCCCACTTGGCTCTGGCTCCTACTCTTTGTAAGGAAAATTTCAAATATTCTGCCCTTTCCTAAGCTTCCAATCTGTTTTTCTTCCTTCTCCCTATTTCAAGTTGATGACCTCATTTCTTTCTTTACAATGAGAAAAGATAGCATTAGTATCCCCAAAATCCCATTCCCAAACTGATCACATCTGGACCTATCCATCTCTCCTTACTGTTACAATGGGGAAGTTTTCAATCCATGGACACCTGCCACCGTTTCAGAATACTTCAACAATCTTTTGTCTATTCCTTATCTGTAAGTCTCCAACTTTATTGATTTTTTTCCTGTTAACACAAACTTGTTTAAGTCCCTCCTATCTAGAGGAAAAAGAAAAAGAATTCTCTCCTGGAACCCACAATCCTCTGACTTTTAGGACCCTACCTCTCTCATCCATTTCACACCTGAATTTCTTGAGAGAACTTTTTTTCTCTTTTATGTCTCCCTAATCTGCATGTTCAATAAAGCACCAATTACTGTCAATTCTACCTACTATTTCTGGATCCAGTTCACTTCTTTTCATCCAACATCACTTTGTGATCCAAGTTTCCCTCAAGACTAACAACCAAGACAAGTAGTCCAACTTGATCACTGCAATTTCCTCTAAACTGAACTTTCTGAATCCATGTTTGACTCCTTTCAATCCATTTGTCATACTGCACCAAAACGACCTTTGTAATTGTAATTTGGATCAATTTCATAGCTATCTCCTGCTCTTAGGATAAGGAATAAATGTCTTAACAGAATCAAGATTTTAGGAGAACTGACTCCTGCACTTCTTCTTTTATATCTTTCTCTTCATTATACTATCTCCATATCAATCATTATTTTAGGTTGTTGAGTGCCATGAATGTTTCAAGTACTCTTTTTCAAACCAAGATCTTGAAATTTCCACCTCTTTTCCCCAGAAAAACTCTACTTCACTGTAGCCAATTCATATTTTTTCTGTAGTACCGAGATTGGCACATTTTGATCTACCAGCAATAGTTCTCTATAGCTCCTTTCATTTTTGCTCCAATGAAAAATTTTAATGTTAATCTTTTTACTGGACTATGACTTCTTGAGAGCAGAGACTGTGTTTATATTACTCACTAGGATAATCTTGCCATTTTGCAGTGTCAGTTGACTATTGAATTAAGCCAATTTTACAACTCATTTGTAACTAAAATGGAGTGAAAATTTTCCTTTTTAATGATTTTGATGCCGAATTTAGTGATTTAGGAAAAAAATCACAATACAACTTGAAATTTGTCTTTACATAGATTGCGTACATAAGTTTCCATATGCTTTTATAAAGACAGGGCATAGGGTAAATATATAGTAGAAATTAACAGCCTCATGAAATCTGTGTCACATAATCCATTCAATCATGGTTCTAGGACCCTTCAAAATTTTACTCTTGAGGTGAGCATTTGGCCCGATAGCTAAATGCTAGTAAGCATGCTCTCATTTCACATCAGAGTACCTGGTTTGTTTCATGGTTCTGGCTCCCAGTGCAGACTCTGACAGGCACCAGTTCAAGTATTTGAGTCCCTGACACCTGTGCTGAAGAACTGTATTGCGTTCCCAGCTCTCAGCTTCACGTGCCCACCTGCTGGCTGTTGAGGGTATTTGGGGAGTGAACAAGTAGATAGAAACTTTCTGATAACTTTAAGTACTAGTCATACGTTTATAGTTCCCAAAGTTATAGCTAGCTACAGTCCAATCCTTTCCAGAACTCCAGGTTGGCACATCAACTTCAAATCTCACTGGATGCCTATATCTCAAACGTAACATGCTCAAAATCAAACTCTTGATTTTACCCACCAAATTGGTTCATTCTGAGTCATCTCAATCTCAGTAAACAACAGTTCTATTTTTGTTTCTTGACCAGATTACACATTTAGGGTTGTGCTCAGTTCTCACTCATTTATGTCTCAATCTAAATGTCTAGAAAATCCTTTTAGCTTTTCTGCAAAATGAATCTAAATTTGATGGCCTTTCATCAACCTTGCTGTTTCCACCATAGTGCAAATCCGCATCATCTTTTACCTTCATAATTATGGTAGACCCCAGTCTGTTTTCTTGATTCCAGTCTTTCTGTCCATGCAGTCTACTCTCCATTAAGCAGCCAGAGTGATCATTTAAAATGTGAGTCAAGTCATGACACTCTTCTGCTGGGAACTCTTTAGTCATCTCCCTTCACCTTATTCAGAATGAATTTGATGTTCTCTGACCTCCAGTCTCACTGACCCCTCCATCTCATGCTTCCAGTTCCCATTATCTCACTTTTCTCCTATATGTCCATGTCTCTCTCTCTCTCTCCCTCACTTTTTGTGGATCTCTGTTCCAATTATCTATTTTCCTATGTATCACCTCTCATATGTCCTATACATCATATTTTTAAATCTCAAATACATAAAATTATTTCTTATTATTAATAAGAAATATTTCAATATTAAAAATATTTGGGGGCCAGGATTGTGGCATAGCAGGTAAAGCCACCACCTGGGATATAGGCATCCCATATGGGTACTGGTTCATGTTTTCACTGTTCCATATCCCATCCAGCTCTCTGCTAATGTCTAGAGAAAAGCAACAGGGAATGACCCCAGTGCTAGGGTCCCTGCCACCCATGTGGGAGACTTGGGTGAAGCTCTAGCCTCATGGTTTTGGCCTGGCCCAGCCCTGGCCATTGCAGCTATTTGGGGAGTGAACCAGCAGGAAAGAGATCTCTCTCTTTTTTCTTTTTTTGCTTTCTCTCTCTCTGTAACAATGACTTTCAAATAAATACATCTTTTAAAAATATATTTTTAAATATTTAAAAGTATTTTAAGTATTTAAAGATAAGTACATCTTTAAAAAATATATTTGGGGCCAACGCTATGTTGTAGTGGGTTAAGCTGCTGCCAGCAGTGCCGGCATCCCATAGGCTGTCGGTTTGAATTGCAGCTGCACCATTTAGGATCCAGCTCCCTAACAATGCACCTAGGAAAGCAGTGGAAGTGCTTGGGCCCCTGCACCCACGTGGGAGACCTGAATGAAACTTCTGGTATTGTTCTGGCCCAGTCTTGGCCATTGCAGCCATTTAGGGGGTAAACCAACACATGGAAAATTTCTCTCCCTGTCTCTGCCTTTTCACCTCTATAACTCCATTTTCCAAATAAATTAATAAATCTTAAAAAAATGGTACCTTAAATGACTTCCATGACTCTATGATTTAAGAGTGCCTTATCACTCTTCCCTTTTTCACTGATTTATTTTTTCTTACTAGTATTATCACCAACTCACAGATGTTTTATTTGTCTATTATATTTCTCCCCCCCAAACACACACACACACAGAAACACACACATACATGAGAGCAAGGATTTGTTTTGTTCAAGGTTGCATCCGGATGCTTAGAAGAATATCTATATCTCAGTAGGTACTTGATAAGTATTTGCAAATGAAGCAATGCAACTTAATAGAAGATAAAGGAAAATGTGCGTATATCTAACTTAAAATAATAAAAGTTGACATGAAACATTTCTGGTAAGGAATTTTAGAATTTTTAACATGTTTGCTATATAGAAAATGTAACCATGCTTTATTTAAGTATCAAACAAGATAATAGGCAGATCAGAAGAATTCCAGTTTTCAAAATATGCCCCTGCAAAAATATAGTAAGAAAAGTAAACTTCTCACTTTGCCAAAATCAAGAAACAATACTAATTAGATATGTAACTGCTTCTAACCATGATAACAGCTCTTTTAGAAACTAGTCGGGATTTTTGCAGACATAGAGCTATTAGTCCAGGTTTAAAATACAACTTTTATTGTGGATGGTCTTTTATGTGGCTTTAAACTTAACGATAATAATGACATAATGGCCTCCCAGTTATGACCAAATGCACATGACAACCTTCAGGAATTTTTATTGTATGGCAAGGGCACTATGCTTAAAGTCAGAGAACCAGAATTTGAGGAATGATGGATAAAATCATTGTCAGAAGTCTATCATAAACAACAGTATTATATACATCTAAGTTTACTAGGACCTCTGATCTGTTGTGCTAGTATCACCAAAAGCCTGAAGGATTTGAGTGCCAGTACTATGACAAAGTAGGTTAAGCCACCACATGCGATGCCAACATCCCGTATTAAAGTGCCAGTTCTAGCGCTGCTTCCAATCCAGCTTTCTGCAAATGTATCTGGGAAGGCAGCAGAAGGCTCAATTAAGAGACCTGATGGATTTCTGGGTTGCTGGCTTTGGCCTGGCCCATGCTTGCTGTGTCCATTTGGAAAGTGAACCAGTGACTCTCTCCGTCTCTCTTTGTCTCTTTGTCTCTGTCTCTCTGTCTCTTTCTCTGGCTCTGCTTTCAAGTAAATATTTTTTTTGGAACACTGAAGGAATTATTTGTCTTAGACTGTTAGTCCACCTGCCTTTTCTTTTCTTACCTCTGCTCCAAGGTGAGGCATCTGAAATACATTGCTTTTTCTCAGGCAATTAGAGATTTTAAAAAAATCTTATAATCCTACACTGGAACGTATCTGTGGCTCTGAACAATCCACAAGCTTCTAGCTGAGGCAACAATTCAGTTTGGTACACATTAACACATTTACCGAGTTGACTTCTCATCTCCAATTCCATTGCTGCAGGCCTCCTAACAATGTTGCCCCTTGGAGATTTACTTCTTCTGGGAAAACTGATACAGCCCTCAAATACAGGTATTGCCAAGATTTCTAGAGAGCTCCTCTCATAACTATGTCCTCAATCCCCCAGTTTGTCTGAGCAGGAATTCTAAACCTGCCCTGGCCCTCCACCACCACAAATCTCTTTTCCAGCATGTCTTAAAGCTGGATTCATAACATCCTGGGATTTTATTGGAGCAAGATGATAGCTTTTTTGACATTTTTCTTAAAAAGAAGTATGTGATCCCCTACAAAAGTTAGCAGAAAGAAAATCTGCCCTTTTCTTTGATATTGGACTTTCTTATTTTCATCTCATCAGTAAGATGCAGAACAAAACATTTTTCTGATCAATTCAAATCTATTTTCTCCTTTTTTTTTTTTTTAATCTGATTCTCTAACCTGTAAGTCACTTGTTTATTTAGCACATCCTGTTTCAGTCTCTACTAAAAACTAAGCTTAAAGGCCAGCGCCGCGACTCACTAGGCTAATCCTCCACCTAGCGGCACTGGCACACCGGGTTCTAGTTCCGGTCGGGGCGCCGGATTCTGTCCCGGTTGCCCCTCTTCCAGGCCAGCTCTCTGCTGTGGCCAGGGAGTGCAGTGGAGGATGGCCCAAGTGCTTGGGCCCTGCACCCCATGGGAGACCAGGAGAAGCACCTGGCTTCTGCCTTCGGATAGGCGCGGTGTGCCGGCCGCAATGCGCCGGCTGTAGCTGCTACTTGGGGGGTGAACCAACGGAAAAAGGAAGACCTTTCTCTCTGTCTCTCTCTCACTGTCTAGCTCTGCCTGTCAAAAATAAATAAATAAATAAATAAATAAACAAACTATTAAATCTTAAGAACATAAAGCATAAATATCAACTGCAAATGCGCTGACGTTCATACATAATCTCAGGGGAGCTCTGCACTGGAAGTTAGTGCTGAACTTGGGAGGATAGATCATTCGTGAAGACTGCCTCTGCCACTCCACTGGGCAAGCTGGGAGGTAGGCTCTACAGGCCTGGTCCCCAGAACTGAAGCAAGTATTCTGTCTCAGGTTGCTCAGTGTCCAGAATTCTATACATCATCTAGTTCAAAATATTTTCTGGGCCTGCTGGTGGTGATGAACTTCTACACTGCCAGCCCAAAAACCTGATCCTGGGTTGATCATGTCATGGGACTTCAAGCAATGACTTTCTTTAGAAAAGACAGAACTTTAAAAGTTGTCCTGTCTGAAGCTTTGCTGAATTTGTTTACCCTGACTTACTTCTGCTTCCTGATGCTTATCATTCTGTATTCCAAGACTTCTGTGTTCTTCCTGGAAACACCCCTGTCCAGTACAGCCCCAGTCTTCCAAGCTTTTGCTTCTTTGGCTTTTCCAGGGCTGCCTGTCAGGCAGAACACTGTCCTTGGCCTGAAATAAAATATCTCATTTACCAACTACTCTATTTAACTTCAGAGCATAAATAAAATTACCTTATTCCACCAAGATGTCATCAATCACATTTCTAGGAAGCAGATATCTCAAACAGGACAGTAAAATCTAAGGTGAAGATGTATATCAATAGGCAGACAGTAAACCTTTGGGGAGAAATGATTGTAGCAATATATGTGACTGGAATAAAACAAAAGAAACAAAAAAAGAAGAATTTAAAGTAGAAAATAAATGGGAATACTGTGGGGAAAATAATCTGGGGAAATATTTTAAAGTCTGGTGTGTATACAGACTCAGTTGTAAATATTTACTAACTCAAAGCTTTCCAACGCTGAAATTCAAAGCAAGAAGTAATACAAATCAGAGCAAAATGACACAAAATTATAAAATTTAAATTATGTATATATTTTCCAAATATAAAAAGCAGTAAAGAAGTAGCACATGGAATTTATTACATTATTTAACACTATAAAATTGGAAGATTTATAGAAAGGGGTGCCTGGTAAAACAGTCCAAATTAATAAAGAAGGTAAAATATTACAAATTAATAAGATGGTAAATGGTCTAAATTAATGAAGAAATCATGGATGCAGCAAACAAATCAGAAAAGAATGGCAGAAAAAGAATAAAGAAGTAGTGAGTCAAGGAGAGAACTACTTGGAAGGTGAGGAAAAGTGATTTGCTTACCTGGGATCCCATTTTACAATATGCTAATTGTAAACAGCAAGGAAAGAGAAAAGCACATAGCATTGCCAACTACATATATTTTGAAAAATACCTGGCTCAGTATGTTGGACAGACAAGAAAAATCACATGAGTGCCATTGGAAAAAGGATATGAATGTACCAAAATCTTAATAGCTAATTTTCTAATAGGGTTGAAGGGAGTTAAAATGTACAGGGCAGGGGTGGCACTGAACCGAGAGATTGCTTTCCCTTTATTCAATACTATAAATGTCTGAAAAAGAAAACACAACACATAAAACAGAATTTAGAACATGCATTTAAGATGTTAAGAGAAATGTGAGACCACTATTTCGAAATACTGTCCTATAAAATAATATAGTAATGTACTGATTACCAACATGACACAATGACAGGGTTGTTTTCTTTCTGAGCATTATAAATCCTTCTAAATTTGATAAATGACATGAGGATCTACAGAAAATTTGTCAAAGATTTCTTAGTATTTTTATCGTTTTAACATTAGTATTTTAAACTACATTTTTAATTCACAAAAAAACATAAAAATGAAACTTTGATTACTTCTTTAGCTAGACACTTTTATCATGAAAACTTCAAGGTTTTCCAGGTGTGTCTTTCCTCAAACCCTCTTTTGGCACTGACAAATCACCTGCTTTCATTGCTTCTGTGGAGATGCATGGAAGGAAGAAAGTCTACGTGATAAAATGTAGAAGTTAGATCTGTTGCAGATCAAAGTGTTTCATAGCAAGCTACAGATTGTAAAGAGGAATTTAGATATGCTTGGGAATACAAAAAGTACATCCACCTTTTGCATTTTATATAAGAAAATAATTCGTATTCAACAAGTTAAATAGGTTTTTATCCTTCCTCAATTCCTCCACTGAGATTGTCCCTTCAGTTCTCTGCCTGTCCCAAGTTTGCAGGTTCAAATGAGGGTTTCTAAAAAACTTCTAGAACAATTGGTCTGTTACATGGCCAGGCCCACCCAGCATCCTAGTCATATTTTGCACAGAGGAGCAGAAGCTCAACATTCTTTACCATCATCCCTGAGACTCCCATAACCAGTTGGTGTATAGGGGAAAGCAAAGGCAACTTGACTAAGAACTCACTTTCTTATTAATATAGTAGGGGTCCAGGTCCTCCAGGGGCTCTGACACCATCTCTGGAGGAATGTCTCCATAAATAAATGGAAGAGATTTTCCTGCTTCCAAGTCACTATTTGGCTTTGGGCCATTTTCATCATCCTCATCCTTGCGCTCCTGCTTGGGTCTCTTGGCTTTCTCTTCTGCAATGCGTTGTTCAATAGCAGCAAGGGATTCCCTGGTAAAGAAGCGGAAGCTGTCAGGTCCTGGCGGTACCAGCACTGATTGTGCCATCTTTTCATCCTGCTCCTTTAATCACTGTTTAGCTCCTTGCATAAGAAAGTGCTACAGAAACAGGGGAGAAAAAGGCAATGACCATTAGGATTAAAGGTGAAGGTAGTAGTTACATGACACTGAGTACTGAGATAACGAATATAAACTAAGAGGGCTGCAATGTTTTACATAGAAAGCTGAATATAGCATTCGGGGAATCTCACGCACACACTCATCTGCTTGCATGGAGATCTATCTTTTACATTCAGTAGGTGTCTATGAGGTAATCTAAATCTCTCTCCCAAAATGTTTTAAGTGATTGGGCTACTTGGAGGAAAACACCCAATTCAGAGAACTCTAGAATAGAGATACTGGTTTGTGCTTGCTGTTTGACTTGTGTGACTATTTTGGCAGCCATCTTTTTAGCATTCTTTCTGAAAAAATACCAGATATCCAAAACAAGAGATGAAAGATGACACAAAATTGTAGGACCGCAGCTTTGCGAGGATCTTGCAAGTAACTGCGTTTCCCCACACTTTCTCTTTGGCCCACTTCATCAGCTTTAAACAGTTTATTCAAAGCCAATACGTCAGGTACAGGGCTCTGGAAACGCTGACATGCCAGGCTCTGGAATCCTAGGAAGATACTGCTTGAACGCAAGAGAATGGAAAAGAGCAGGAGCTGCCTGATTCTGTTTGGAACTGCTCAGAAGCTGCACAGGAAGGAACCTGGTTCCTGCCAAACTGGGCAGGAAGTCACCCACGTCAGAGGTCTGTAGCTCGGACCCCCTGGCTCAGCAACCTGCTGTTAGGTAGTGGAATTGCTTCTTAAATTAACATATTTTCAATACGTTGGGAAATACTGCAGAAATAGCCCCATTTCCTCAAATACTGCCCATTTCACAAAAACCTGGCAAAGCAGTCTGAATGCCCGTTTTAGAATTTGGACTCAAAAGCATAATAAGTTTAAGACAGTTTATCTTTAAAGCACACTTCTGTTATATGGGTCTTTGTGATAACATAAACGGTGTTTCACTAGTATTGGAATCATATTTTACTAGACCAAACCAGATAACATCAGTCATTCCAAATGTTATTTCTACACCTGGGACAGGAGTTTCTATATTATTTGAAACAATACAGATAAGAGCTTGATTTTCAAATGCCATCTGTACAAAAATGACTTAATTCACATTTTTCTTCATTTAAAAGCATCAATCTATTTTAACCCCTACCATATAGGAGTGAGAGTTGCCACTTAAATACATGAAATGCATTTTCTAAGAGTGAAATGTATTAATAACCAGTTCATTTGTGCAGTTTATACCAGAAAAGAGGGAAGCCCCAAATAACATAAACTACAGTACAGTTTCCATTTAAAAAATTCTTTGAAGTAGACCAGGACCTTTTAGCCAGCAGACTGCCCTCCCAGCATCACAGTATTTCTAAAGACATCTCTCTTTTTCCTCACGCATCCTCAGGGACCCTCATGCCCAGCGACAGGCATAGGCACGAAGATGGTCCTTGGATACTCAGGGGAGGAAACTGCCAGGCCTGGATGCTCTAATAGAAGAGGAGACATGCTAAAACATGCAGCTAGCAGCTTCGAAATGAAAGTGGTCCCCCAGCAGATTTCCCCAAGGATTCTACTGTAAAGGTAGAGAAGCATCACAGAGAAAAAGCATAATAAGAATATGAAAACATTACCCCTGCAGAATCTTTTACATTCAGAGTTTGGGGTTGATAAGCTGGCACCAAGAAGACTGCAGCTAAAATTCCATCATGCTTTAAAAAAAATTTTTTTTTTTTTTTTAATTCTCCTTCAAAGACCACACCTAACTTCCTGTTAAAGGATTCTGGTAACTGAAGTAAGAACAAGCATTTCCTGTGCGGGGACTACAAAGTGGCATTTTTATAACCACCACTAGAGGGCTGGGGAGCTGTGAAGAGAAACACCTTCGCAGTGTACACAGACACAGGCCTGAAGCAGCCCCAGGCTGTCAGTGATGGAGCTCAGATGATGTGCAGGCCTTTCTTTAGAACTAGACGCAAAAACTTTGCTGGTTTCAGCTTTTAATTTTGTAAATCAGTAATTCTTCTGTTCATGTTTTCATTTGCTAGTCTAGAAATTCAATCAATATGATTACTTAAGCGACAGTAAAAGTAAGCAAATTGTGAAGCATTAAAATATAAAAATGCATATAAAATAACAATTACATTAATGAAATCCTTATATACAGTGGGATTTAAAATTTACTTCAATCCAGTGTTTGAAACCCAGTAAAGTTCTTGGCTAACTCAACAGAAATGACATTTTGCCATACAAATCAACTTTCCTTCGGGGGGAAAATCACCTAATAATACATCAATATTATTATTTTATCTTTAAGTCACCAAAAAGAATCAGGAGAAAAGTATGAATAATCCAATGATATTTTAAGTGCCAGCCTTTTATCTAACAGCACAGTTAAAATTGAAATATTTACTAAGTACCAGTCGCTGGGTTACAGTATCTTCACGTACTATATCTTTCCATTCCCCGTCCCCTCACCACAACTCTATGGGATAAACACTCCCATGATCCTTATTTGAAAACTGAACAAAGGATGCACACTGACACTGAAATTAGGAAAAGTTGCCTGAGATCATACAAACAGAATTCAAATTCAACATCTGAAACCAAAATCTGTGATCTTTATTCAGCCATAGAAAGAAACACCTGTTCATGCAAAGAAAGCCTAAAAGAAAGATTATATAAGAAGCTGTCATGACACCAATTATAATCAGAAACAGTTCCACCTATTAAATAAATATATTTTGCACATTATCTGGTTTCACCATTTTCATTAGAAAATACGGCTGTTAGAAATGATCAAGGGGAAGATGCAGCCATAAAGAATATTTTATTCACTCTAGCAGGAAGCTTTGCTTATAAGACATAGAACAGTGTACAAATTTGTTGTGGCAGGGAAAAGAAAGGGAATAAAGAAGGAAGTTGGGTTCATGGTTATTGTCAGGAGCTAGCTTTAGGCAATGGATGGCTCAAGAACTCAACTCATGCTGAACCTTTGTCTCTGCCTTCCACAGTGAAGCCTTTTCTAGGGATTCTCTCTTACTGTAGTAAGCTTCTACAACAGATCCAGCCTCCTGCGGCTGACGCTGTGGCACAGTGGGTTAATGCCCTGGCCTGAAGCACCAGCATCCCATATGGGCTCCTGTTCTAGTCCCGGCTGCTCCTCTTCCAATCCAGCTCTCTGCTAATGGCCTGGGAAAGCAGTAAGATGGCCCAAGAGCTTGGGCCCTTGCATCTGCGTGGGAGACCCAGAAGAAGCTCCTGGCTCCTGGCTTCAGATCAGTGCAGCTCTGGCCATTGCGGCCACCTTTGCGACCAATTGGGGAGTGAACCATCGGATGGAAGACCTCTCTCTCTCTCTCTCTCTCTCTCTCTCTCTCTCTCTCCTCCTCCCTCTCTCTCTCTGCCTCTTTTCTCCTTGTGTAACTCTGACTTTCAAAGAAATAAATCAATCTTTAAAAAAAGAATAGATCCAGCCTCCCAACCACCAAGACTCAAATCCGATAGGAACAAAAATCCAGAGAAACCTCATTATGTCTTATGGCTCATTTGGGCCATATGTTCATCCTGAAGTAATCACTATATTTAGGGTAACGCTATCCCACGTTGGCCTTCCTGAAATCAGATGACCCATCTTGTAGTGTGGAGTAAATCTCACTTAAAACCTATGAACACTCACGGTGGCACAGAAGCATTTCTCAAAAGTAGAGTTGAGGTACTATTACTGAAAGGAGGGAGAGATTAATTTGCATTATAGTCAATACTAGCCATTTTTTTCAACACCTCAGTATCTGGAGAATGACTCTGTTTATGTATGTATGTATGTATGTATGTATCTATCTATCTATCATCTTCCACATTTGTCAACTTAGAGACCAGACGAGATATTTACAAAATTCCTTTCCCAAAGTGAGTTGACAAATCTTAATCAAATACACAAATATTTCACAAATCTCTTTGGTGAGGATCAGATTCATTCATCAAATGTTCTCAGCAATAGATAAATTTGTTATGCAAAATATTCTGGATCAAAAATAAATATGAAGCTTTACAAAGTGATTTGCAAAATACTATATATATATTGGGAGGAGATTGATCACAATAAAACACCAGAGTGTTTTACTCTTGGTCAGGGACTATTTTAAGAGCTATGAAACCATCCAATCCTTATAAACACTTGAGAAAGCCAATACTGTGGGCACCCTAACTTAAGACACAAGGAAGCTGAGGCTCTGAGAGGTTAGATAATATATGACATACATAAGTTCTCGCAACTGAAAACAGTAGAGTCAGAATTTTAGACCATGCTCGCTGGTTAAAGAATCCCGGGTTCTAATAATTATGCAATGTTTAAGACTTTTTCTGGAATCATTTACTATCAGGAGCACACCAAGATATGTGTAGTTTCTTTGAAATTATATGAACTGGAAGATCAACACTTTATCTCTCATTGATCCCAACCTAGTGAGTGTGCCTTAGAATACGTAAAAGGCAGAACACAAAATGTTTTACCAAAACCTAAAATGAACAATACCCTAATAATTTTTCTAATACCTGAATCATTATTCCATCTCAAGGAGATTTTGTGTAGCATAGATTAGAAATAAAATACAGTCTCTTGTTTCTAATAAATCAGAATGAGGTTTTCAGATATCATGCACATTATTTGTCTTCCATTTGCTCTGACTTGTTTATATCATACTGATAATTACTGCGAATTTTAGATGATATGTATTACCTGAAGATTTTGAAATTTGCGTATATTGATTTTCAGACAACTTTGAATGATAGACACCATTTGTGAGACCCATGAGTAATGAGGAATATAAGTAATATTATAAATAAAAAATATTAATAATTGAGTTTATATATTCTGATGTCATTTCTAGTGTTTTTTTCAATATTCTTTTCCATTAGTTTTCTTACTTGTAAAAGAGGAACAATATTTTTACAAAAATAATATGTAAAAAATTGTCATGTTATGACATATGATGATATAT